GGGTTTAGGTTTCAGGGTTTCCCTGTACCTCACGCCACAGATCCCCAAAGGTCACCGTCAGGGTTTAGGGTTCAGGGTTTGGGGTTTAAGGTTTCAGGGTTTAGGGTTTCCAAACCGGGCTCACAGGGTTTCGGGTTTATGGGGTTGAGGGTTTAGAGTGCGCGGCAAGATGCATGTAGCGCCAGCCCTGGGGGTCCATGTACCTTATTCCTATACACTTGGGGCTCAACGTCACTTTACAAGAAGTAACTTATAAGGAGCAAGTATTCCCTATTTAGGTACAGGTACCCTTAGGGCAGCTTAGTTCGCTGGTGTCCTCGCAACTCACAGCCGACAGCATTGGCGCAAGAGGAAGCACGTTGAGAAGAATAGGAGGTGAGTAGGTGACCTGAACAATTTCTGGTTCTTGTAAACCCACTTAGAACCTTAAACCCCACACCCTACACCCTAAACCCTAGTAGCCCTAAACCCTAAACCCTAGTAGCCCTAAACCCTGAAAACCCCTGAGCCCCTTAGCTTCTGACTTGGGTTGATTTGCTCCTCAGGGCGTTGAGGTTTCTCGACCCAGGGTCGAAAGATGTCATGCTCCGGGTGTTCGAGGGCTTCGGAAGAGGTTCGAGGCTACGCTAGGGTTTAAGGTGTAAGGTGTAAGGTTTAGGGTTTAGGGTTTAGGGCACTTCTTGACTGGTGGGATGCTTCAGAGCTGCGCAGACTTACATACTACATACCCTGCACCCTAGACACGCAAACGGCTCGCGCGATGACCTTGGCGTCGCAACCTGAACCTTCGGGGGTTCTCCGGCTCTTTCGGGCCTCGGGGGAAGAGCTGACTGTGACTTTAGAGGACCTGGGTGGCGCAAAGACGGTCGAGACCTTGAAGCGCCACTTGCGCGCCCGGCATGGCTTCCCCGTCTCTATTCAGGCCTTCTTGCACGGCAGTGAGATCTTGCAGGACGCTGCGGAGCTGAGCACATCTATGGAGCTACAACTGGTTCTGCTGTCTGACTCGAGCCATGGGGCTGCTTAGGGATGTTTGGAAGAGTTTTTTATTTGTTGGGTACTTTGATTCCTGAGAAGCAGCTACAAGTATAGTACAATTTTTGCTAGGTCCAAGTACAGTATAGGCTAGAAGAGATGCCGTCGCCGAGCTTTTGGACGTTGCGCGCGACGGTCACCTTCACGAAGTTCGGGTGGTGCGCCTTCTGCTGGAAGCTGGCGTGGACAAGAACGCCACGCGCACGGATGACTTTTCTGGCGACACAGCTCTCATTCATGCCTCCGAGCACGGGCACGTGGAAATTGTTCGGGTGTTGGTGGAATCTATATTCCCCTTGGGAACTAGTTTGTTTTTTGTTCATATAAAGCCAAGAGGACATTAAACATATTAGTTTTATTAAGGTTCTGAGGGGAGTATAGGAATTTGCTGCTGACCTGAACTGGGGAAACCGGCACTGGCGCCACACGGCTCTCATGTCTGCAAGTGAATCTGGGCACAGTGACTTGGCAGCCCAGTGGTACCCGTCTTTTGGTTCTAGGTTCCGTTATAAAGTACTACCCTTACTATGAACATGGTTACTGGGCCACCGAGGTGAGGTTGTGCGCTTGCTGCTGGAAGCTGGTGCTGACAAGGACTAGCTACCCTAAACCCTAAACCCTCAACCCTAAACCCTCAACCCTAAACCCTACACCTTAAACCCCAAACCCCAAACCCTAAACCCTAAACCCTAAACCCTAAACCCTAAAGGAGCGCTGCAACAATCGTGGCAACACGGCCCTCATCTGCGCGTCCTTGCGAGGTCATGCTGAGATTGCGCCTTGCTAGCCCAGCGATACCCTTCTTCCTTTTTTTGTTTTGTTGTTGGTTCAAGTTTCCCTTCTAAAGTAACCAACCCACCCTAAACCCTAAACCCTAAACCCTAAACCCTAAACCCTAAACCCTGAACCCAGGGGTACCCTTATTATTCATATGGGTATTGGGCTACCCAAGGTGCGCCTACTTGTGGATGCCGGCGCTGACACGGAGTTCATGGGGGATTGGAGCAAGACGCTAGGATGCCCAGTAGTACCCTTATTCCCTTTTCTTTTGGGGGGTTTAGGTTCCAACCCTAAACATAAACCCTAAACCCTAAACCCTAAACCCTAAACCCCAAACCCTAAACCCTAAACCCTAAACCCCAAACCCTAAACCCTAAACCCTAAACCCTATCCTCAATCCCAGAAGTTCCTGGGGCAAACCTAAGGACGGCCCTGGTCCACGCGTGCCAGTGCGGCCATGCCGAGGTCGTCCGGCTGCTGCTGAACGCCAGCCCGGCCCAGGAGCTGAGACTCACGAGCCGGCACTACATAGCTCCTGGGTTTAGGGTTTAGGGTTTAGGGTTTAGGGTTCAGGGTTCAGAGCGTTCAGAGGGTTCAGAGGGTTCAGGGTTTAGGGTTTAGGGTTTAGGGTTCAGGGTTCAGAGGGTTCAGAGGGTTCAGAGGGTTTATAGGGTTTATAGGGTTTATAGCGTTTATAGGGTTTATAGGGTTTATAGGGTTTATAGGGTTGAGGCTCCTAGGTAGTAGGCCCTTAAGGGATAATTCTCATAGTTTTCCCTTAAGTTGGGTTTACGAGGATCAGATTTTGGAGTATTTTTGCCACAGGGTTTAAACAAAAAAAGTCCCAGGCTCTCATCTTTGCATCCGACCATGGCCATGTGGAGACCGTCCGCTTGCTGTTGAAAGCCGGGGCGCGGAAGGACGCGCACAGCAGTCAGGCTAGGACCGCACTCCGATACTTGGGCTTTCTTCTGGCTGGCGTTAGGGCCTAGGGCTTAGGGCTTAGGGCTTAGGGCTAGGGCTGAGGGCTTAGGGTTTAGGGTTCAGGGTTTAGGGTTTATGGTTTAGGGCCTTCGCTCTTAGGACTTTAACCGTTTGGGCTTTTGCAGAACTCACAAGAAGGAGCCTAAAAGTTAATTCAACTTTTAGGAGGGGTCAGCCGAGGATACGCTCGGCGCAAAGGCCACCGGGAGGTCGTGCGCCTGCTTCGTGAGGCACGGGATCAGGTGGCAGAATGCAGCCGGCGCAAAACGGGTCTCATCGGCACCCAAAGGGTCCACGGCTGAACCCGATGGGAACACTCGGTTCCCCAACACCCTCACACCTCCCTCAGAACCCTATAAGCCCTGACCCGACAGCCCTATAGCCCTCTTTGGTACATGGCCCCTTATGGTGCCTGACAACCCTAACACTTAAGCCCCACACCCTAAACCCTAAACCCTGCGGCCTCAGACCCCAGGCCCATGATCCCTCTTGCCCTAGACCTACCTCAAGAACCCAAAGGCTGGCTCTTTGTAAGGTTCCTGAGACTTCTAGAAGGGGATTTAGACTTTGAACCTACAACAAAAGGGGGTTTGAGGTTCTTAATCCTGAGCTCTACATCTACACCCTATACCCTTTCGACCTGAAACCCTACACCCCAAACCCCCAGAGACCCTGGCGAAAAGACCGGGGTCGGTAGTAGTTCTTGCGGCAAAGATCCGAGCCTGCATTTGGCCAACAAAAGGGCTCAGGGTCTATGGGCATTCTCCGAAAGCGAGCCCTTCTTCCACCGTTTCTTCCTAACCCCCACCCCCTCCCTCTCACCTAAACCCTAAACCCTAAACCCTAGACCCTCAACCCTAAACCCTAAACCCTAAACTCTCAGCTCAGCAATCTCGAAGTCCCGAATCCACAGCCGAAGGAGGCACCTAGGGCTTTGGCGGCCTTAGGGGTTGGAGTTTAGGCTTAGGGTTTAGGGTTAGGCCCGGGAGGGGGGGGGGGGGGGGGCGAGCAAGGTTCTGGATTGCAGTAGAGGAAAGTGGTTCAAAGCCAAAGAGGCCCCCCAGCAAAGCTGTTTTGAGGGGTTTGGGTTTAGGGGGTCGGGTTCTGTCGTTTCCAAAGGGCTGTTTCCCTTGCAGTTCTACCTCCTTCATGGATCGTCAAGGTTGAGGGTTTTGGCTTCGCACGTGTCTGGCTCATCTGAGGCGACGTCGCGCACTGCTCCTGCTCCTTGTCTGGTTTGGTACCGGACGCAGGGCCAACATGAAAGAGCCTTCAACCCCAAGCCGCAGACCTTCGACTCGAGCACCCCAAGCCCCAACCCCTAGACTCCACCACCCCTGGACCTACGTATCCCAAAGCTCAGAACAGGACGTGCGAATGAAAGCCGCCCATTTGCAGGTTTTGTTTATGAAGACCTTGATCTGTGTGGGTGTGTGTGTGCGCAGATTTGGCTGTAGAGACTGTAGGGCCTATGTATACGATGGTAGGCCCCTTCCATCTGGTGCAGGTTAATCACACAGCACATGGGCAAACAAATGCTCTGCGGGGTCGTCTCGACGTCTATGCTGCTACTTGCCTAGGCCATCTTCGAGTAAGGTCTAGGTACATGTAGGTAGGTACCTGTCTATCATGGATGTGCTCGACCGCTATGACCCTCACCACACGCCCAAACCTTTAGACGCCTATGCGTGGGAGGCTACGGCATTTTGGCTAGCTATGGACAGGGCCTTCCGTTATGGACGGCTATGAGGTTTAGTATGCTCTATCCGTGCAGAGACACTGGGAAAATTCCGCCCTAACCTGAAACCCGGAACCCTAAACCTGTCCTCAGCCATTTTCAAAAGCCTACGCCACGAACAAACCCAAACACCCCGGAGGTCAAGACCAGAAAACCTCCCTAAAGCTCTAAGAGCGCTTTTGAGCCCTCAGGCTGGCCCCCCCCCGCCCCGAGTCTTTAAATCCCCCCCTTGTTAAGGCTGTTTAGGGATACTTAAGCCTAATGACGGTGAGTTAAGGGGGGGAACTTGGGGGCGGGGGTTAGCCCTAAGCCCTAAACCCTAAAACCCTAAACCCTAAACCCTAAACCCTAAACCCTGAACCCTGAACCCTTCAAAGGGGAACCCACAACCAGAGCCAGGCTTGCCCGGCTACTACTCCTCTTACTACAACGCGACCACGGGCACCACGGTGCCCGGCACTCCATGCATCGCCTGCCACGACACGGAGCGGAGAACGCCCCCTCTCAACGACTGTCTCCTCTACCCTAAACCCTAAACCCTAAACCCTAAACCCTAAACCCCAAACCCTAAACCCTAAACCCTAAACCCTGAATGGGAGTTTAGAGTTGAGGGGCAAGACCTGGTAACCCCTGCAACCATAGGGAGTATAGGCTCCTAAACCCAAAACCCGACCACCCAAATAATTACACCTTCAACTCCAAACGCTAAACTCTGAACCCCAGACCCTAGACCCTAAACCCTAAACCCTAAACCTAAGACCCCAACCCCTGAACCCGAAACTCCAGGATGTTGAGGGTTGAGGGCATCGCGTTTGAAATTTCATATCGGGCATCAGATGTAGGGTTCAAGGGCTTTAAGGGATTAAGGCTTGAAGGGTTTAGGGGTCGGAGGTTTGAGGTTTTAGGGCCTTAACCCTAAACCCTAAACCCTAAGCCCTAAAGTTTGGGGCGCCAGGGTTCATGTGTGCAGGTGGAAGATTTTGTGCTACCGAGTCCAGCATCATTCGCAAGTCCGCACTTCCTGCCCAGGAAGAACCCACTGCAGCCCTGACCCCAAACCCCAAAACCCTGAACACCAAGCCACAAACCCCGAACCCCAAACCCTAAACCCCAAACCCTAAACCCTAAACCCCAAAACCTAAACCCCAGACCCCAAACCCTAAACCCGAAACCCCAAACCCCAAACCCCAAACCCTAAACCCTAAACCCAAAACCCAAAACCCAAACCCTAAACCCTAAACCCTAAACCCTAAACCCTAAACCCTAAACCCTAAACCCTAAACCCTAAGTAAGAAGCCCTATAGCAGCCCAGTCCACCAGGAGCTGATGCAACTTCCGGACTCGGACGAGTTCTGCGGCGCCTCTTGCCGAGCATGAGCATGGCAACGGGCTCAAGGGCAGGACGAAGTCCTCTTACTTAGGGTTTAGGGTTTAGGGTTTAGGGTTTAGGGTTTAGAGTTTGGGGTTTGGGGTTTGGGGTTTAGGGTTTAGGGTTTAGGGTTCACTGCTCGGTACCTGACTGGTGCCCCCTTTTGAGAACTGTCGGCGCCGCCCGTCGTCGACTCTTCGAGCCTACCGGGGAGTGTACGAGACTTCTGAGGAAGGTTGCACTCCCATCACTGGTCCCATGAGGTGCATGGATGTCGACCCTAAACCCCAAACCCTCAACCCTAAACCCTAAACCCTGGAAGCCCTGGTGGCTACAGGATCACCGAGGGTTCCACTTTCTCGCGCTCGCAGTAGCTGTCCGAGCTTCCTGCGCAGCCCATGTCTTCCAACAAAGGGAACAAGTGGTTAAGGGTTTAGCGTTGAGGGTCAAGGGTTTAGGGTTTAAGGTTTCGGGCTTAAGGTCATTCTACAGTGAACTCATCCTGGCGGAGAGAGGTTCAAGGGCTTAGGGTTTAGGACTTTCCTGTTTTAGGGTTCGGATTGGGGTTCTCGGGGAGAGGGAGGTGTTAGGTTTTAGGGTTTCAGGGTTTGGGGTCTAGGCATCCGTCCAAAGGTTTAGGGCTTATGGTTCTAGGTTCGAAGTTTAGGTGTTAGCACTAGGGGTTTGGGGGGAGCAAGTGGCGGCCGGTTGCCTTCCCTTTTCTGGGGTTTTCTTTCATTGAGGTCTTTTTTCTAAGACAAAATACTAATTGCGGGTTCGGGGCTAAAAATGCTCCATGCTAACATGTAGTAGACATTAACCCGACTGTGCAATGCTACAGATAGGGGCCTTCGCGCTACGAAGTGGGATTGGCAGGGTCCCAAGTTTGCTTGCATCGTCGGATGCCCTGTACATGCCTGCTACTGCAAGTCTTGCACGAGAAGCCTTCAAGATCTAAAAAAGTCCCAACCATAATCTTGCTCAGGGTGTAGTTTGGGCTGAGGGTGTAGGGTTTAGGATTTAGGGCCTAGGGACTAGGGGTCAACGTCTAGGGTACAGGGAGGGATCCCCTCACGCAGGTTCTCAAGTCACGTAGTTGAACAAGGAGGGCTTTGAGGGGGCTATGGGGGGGGCCATAAAACTTAAAGGATCCTGACCTTGAAAATCAAAGGGAAAGAGAGAGGGGTTTAGGGTTTAGGGTTTTTTGGGGTTTTGGGTTTAGGGCAGTTTAGGGCACTTAGTGCAGTTTATACATCCAAAGACTTCAGGACAACGGCTTCACTGTCGGAGATCTTTGTACTGCTGAGACAGAAGACCTTTGCGCGCCTTGGCCACGTTTAGTTTGACTGTGTTTGGAGTACTATACTTTAAAGTTTTGTCGGTTCCGTGTTCCTATTGCAGCTACTTATGCCTAAAAGGTATATCCTTTTTTTTTGCAGGGTCTACTCCAAAGAGAAGGAAGCCCCAGAAAGCGAGTGATGATACCCTCTAAACCCTAAAACCGTATAAGCCCGAAAGGTCATCCTAAGCGTCCATGTACCCAAATAGGGAATGCTTGGGCCTTGAAAGCACTTCCTGTTTAGGAACTTTTTGGTGCCCAAGCATATAATAATGAGGTACATGGACCCTTAGGGTAAGCCCCTGAACCCGAAAACACCGGCACCGATGTAGCTCCTAACTTACATTTTGTACATTTAGAGGGTCCATGTGTATTGGTACGAGTATGCAAGTAGGTAGCCGAACGCCATGCTAAATCGGGACCTTGGGGAGTTCCCGAAACCCTAAACCCTAAACCCTAGACCCTAAACCCTAAACCCTAAGTCCAGAATGCTACTTAAGTGGACCCTCTGGAGCATGGCTCCTCGATGTCCCGCTGCTGCCCACAAAGTCAACTGCGATGCGGCATTTGAGGTTTCGGGGATTAGGGCTTAGGGCTTAGGGCTTAGGGCTTCTAGGGTTTAACTAGGGCTCCGTGCTGAGGGGTTGAGGTAGGGCTCAAGGCAATGTTGTGTGAGGCTCCGGGTTGGGGTCTTTGAGTTGACTTCCAAGTGTTCGGTTTAGGGTTTAGGGTTTAGGGTTTAGGGTTTAGGGTTTAGGGTTTAGGGTTTCGGGGTGCCCAGTGCACGATGGCCTGCAAGGTCAACGTGGCGACCACTTCCATCGACTTCCGAATTTGCCGCTTGCCAAGCTGCCAAGTCCCGACTTGTTAGGGCAGGCAGGTTTAGGGTTTAGGGTTTAAGGTTTAGGGTTTAGGGTTTAGGGTTTAGGCTGCCCAGAGTGTGGGCAATGCGGGCTAAGCTTTTGTAGGCCTAGAGTTGCTCGATTTAGGGTGTAGGATGCCAAGTGTGCGGCTTTGGCAACAGCGCAAGGCCCTGATTCACTGAACCCTGTATATATCCGAAACCCGAAGGCCTAAACCCGAAACCCGAAACCCTCTATACCCTCAACCCGACGCACCCCGGAAAGCCACATGGCCCGAAGGCCCGCGAGCCGAAACATGTTTAAAACCCTAAACCCTAAACCCTAAACCCTAAACCCTAAACCCTAAACCCTAAACCCTAAACCCGAAACCCTAAACCCTAAACCCTGGCGGCCTCCAGAGTCTGGCTTGGGGTTTTGGGTATTGCGGTATTTAGGGATGTAGGGTTTAGGGTATTTGGTATTTAGGGTTTAGGGTTTAGGGTTTAGGGTTTAGGGTGTTGGGATTAGGAGATTTAGGGGATTTTGGGGTTTAGGGTATTTAGGGAATTTAGGGTTTAGGATTCAGGATTTCAAGGGTATGGGGCTTAGGGTTTTCCATGGTTTAGGGGCTGGTGGAGCTCAATCCTTAATGACCCACATTCACAAGACGCCCCTAGTGGGTCAGTTCTCTGCAGCGTGGTCTCATGATTTTCCTCTCGGCATCGTTCAGCCACACACAGCAGACTCGTCATAACGTATCTCTGCGACCAGGTTGCAGCTTCGCAGCGCCATGAGCGCGAGCAGAGGACTCGATGAATCATGCATCGCCGTCCAGGAGAACTTCTGATCCCTTACAAGTCCTGAGATCCCGTACAGACGCGGGCGGGACGCGAGGCCGCGAGGCGATAGGCATTCAGTGTTTAAGATTTAGGGTTTTGGGGTTACATATGTAATGCCATGCGCCACGGTTGGCAGGAGATACCTTCGTGTAGGCTTCAGAGTTCATAGCTTGGTAAACCCTCCAACCGGGGGGCACCCCTCCTCCCCCCCCCCCCCCCCCCCCGCCCCCCCCGCCCCCCCCCCCCCCCCCCCCCCCGCGATGAGCCCCACAGTTTTCAAGCCGTCGAAGCCGCCCCGACTAAGGCAAAACCCTAAGCCCTAGCCCCTATCCCTAAACCCCAGACCCTCAACCCCAAACCCTCAACCCTAAACCTATTTAAACCCCAAACCCAAACCCCAAACCCTAAACCCCAAACCCCAAACCCTAAACCCTAAACCCTAAACCCTAAACCCTAAACCCTAAACCCTAAACCCTAAACCCTAAACCCTAAACCCTAAACCCTAAACCCTAAACCCTAAACCCTAAACCCTAAACCCTAAACCCTAAACCCAACCCCCCACTCAGGCAAGACCTACTGCCCGGGCGGCACTGTGTGGCCTCGCGCCAAGCGGACTTTTTGGCACTTGAGGCCCGTCCCGGGAGCGGCCCACAGACTCCATCAACATCCCTTTTAGGGTTTAGGGTTTAAGGTTTAGGGTTTAGGGTTAGGGTTTAGGGTTTAGGGTTTAGGGTTTAGGGTTTAGGGTTTAGGGTTTAGGGTTTAGGGTTTAGGGTTAGGGTTTAGGGTTTAGGGTTTAGGGTTTAGGGTTTAGGATATCGGGTTAGGGTTTCGGATTTAGGGTTTAGGGTTTAGGGTTTAGGGTTTAGCATTTAGGGTCAGGGTTTCGGATTTAGGGTTTAGGGTTTTGGGGTTAGCATGAGGATCCCTGTTGCAGGTTTTCAGGAATCTTCCCGAATGAAAGGGTATGGGAGTCTCTGGGGACAAGGAAGGAGGTGGGGGGAGGCTTAGTCAAGGTGTGGGGAGGCGGCCGCGTCGGGTTTAGGGTTTTGGGCTTGGGGTTTAGGGTTTGGAGTTTGGGGTTTGGGGGGGTTTAGGGTTTGGGGTTTAGGGTTTGGGGTTTGAGGTTTAGGGTTTAGATTTGTGATTTTCAAGTGTGCCTTTTTTGCGCATGTGCACCCTGCGCGTGGAGCCTTGCCTCTGATGTTCTGAGTTGTTTGTAGTCCTTAGTTCCTTCATGAAGGTACCTATTCGTAGTTTAATGTGATTAGACAGTTTGGCTCGAAGAAGGAGGAGCCTCCGATTTTAATGTGAAACCCTAAACCCTAAACCCTAAACACTAAACCCTAAACCCTGAACCCTAAACCCTAAACCCTAAACCCTAAACCCGTGGTTTGGGTACAGTACTATTGTGGAATACAGTGCCTCTTTAGCTGCACTGTGTTTGGGGTTGCACTAGAAGCCGTGCTAAAGGTGCGCTCTTTCTGGCGGCCCTGAACACCCTTCACCCTAAACCCTAAACCCGAAGCCCTAAACCCTAAACCCTAAACCCTAAAAGCCCTAAACGTCCGAGCCAGAGGCACACTTCCATTGACTCGCAGATCACGGGGCTCTCAGCATACAAGCCAACGATGCAGCGGCGCCTTTGTCGGCCCTCAGTGGATGGGGATGCAGTTGAGGTTGCAGGTTTAGCAGGGCTAGACCCTAAACCCTGAACCCTGAACCCTAAACCCTACACCCTGAACCCTAAACCCTAAACCCTAAACCCGAAACCGCAATTGTAAGGTATAAGGGTGAAATTAGGATCTTGGCAGTTCAGTGCTGTTGTAGAGGGCATTTGGTCTAGGGTCTTGATGTAGAGCCGAAGTTTATGCACTTGGGAGGATGGAGGGAGAGAACAAAGACCTCCTCTTGTGGCACTCTTATGGAAAGTTGGTTAAGGGTTTAGGGTTTCGGGTTTAGGGTGTAGTTCCCAAGAGAAAGGACAGGGCTTCTGTCTTGCGATGAAATGGGGATTTCCAAAACAGCAGGGCTTCGAGTGTGAGGGTCCCTTAAAGGCGAGTTCCATTCAGTTTGGGGGGTGTAAGAGCAGCCAAGAGGGGCCCTGATTCTCGCGACGACCCAAAAACCCATAAACCCCGAAAACCGTTCAAGGCTCAGGGCCTGTTTAGGTTTATATAGGGTTTAGGGGTTATATAGGGTTTAGGGTTTATATAGGGTTTAGGGTCTATATAGGGTTTATATAGGGTTTAGGGTTTATGTAGGGTTTAGGTTTATATGGGCCGCTAGGATGCCCAGTAGTACCCTTATTCCCTTTTTGGGGGGTTTAGGTTCCCTTATAAACCCCTTGAAGCAAAAAAGGGCACCCTTTTAAGCCTAGGTTACTGGGCAGCCTAGTGGGGGTTAAGGTTCAGGGTTTCGGGCTTCCACCCCTGGCGTAAGGTGCACTCCGAAACTGGCTTGCAGGCCTGGCAACGTCTGCAGCAAGGACGTTCTGGTTCGGAGTTTGGAGGTTTTCGGGTGACCAGATTAGAGGAACAGCAACGACCGGAATCAAAACGAGAAACGACAGAATCTAAGTCAGCAGACCGGAAGCTCAACATACAACGCCATGAGTTGCGCCATTTCGAAAAGTTGACGTACCTCCGATAATGCGAGTCTGACAAGTTAGGGGAGGCTCGAAGCACTACAATGTCTGAGTGGCTGAAGGGCGTTGGGGGCCGTAGGCCGAAACCCTATAAAGGGTTCAGAGCTTCGATGACAGTCGCAGGAATACAAGTCGTCAGCTTGCTCCGAGTGCGTCTTCGGCTACTTCAAGAATGTCGCTTGTCCGATATGTTGTTGGGGTCCAGGGTTTGAAAGTTTGGTTAGGCCGGCGGATATGTTGATTGCCCTTTCTACATGTTGTCCAGAGGGGAAGTTACAGGCTTTTAGCAGGGATTTTGGGAATTTGGTTTCTATTCATCACTCAACGGCTTAGTTTGGGGGATCGTAGTTTGGGGGATTGAGGGTACCGGGTTGTCCTAGCCACGATTGGGTAATGAATCCTTGCTATTTTATCCCTAAGATCCTCCTTGGAGAGCACCCCCCCCCCCAAAAAAAAAAAAAAAAAAAAAAAAAATCGGGTATGAGTTCCCGAACTTGGGTTACAAGTCCCTTACAAGTAAAGTTGGGCGAGCAACACAGAGGGTCCATGAGCAGCACCACTATGGAATTAGGTACCCAAGAACCATACCACATTGGGTTTTGGGGGTACCTTATTCCAGAATAGTACGACAAATGGACCCTCTGGGTAAGGGCCTCCGTTCTTAATTAGTAGAGGTATCGGAAGATGTGCAGCTTTACCGACCTCATCCGTGGGGGCGACATGAGCCCTACAAGGGTCCATGGTCCATATACGGGCCATATCCGCAACTCTCTAAAGTTTGCTTAGGGGTTAAGGGTTTGGCCTTTAGGGGGGCTGCAGAACCCAAATCTTAAACATTGAAGAAGGCCCACAGCAGGCCGCTCTCAAGCAGCGCAGGCTGTATGATTACAGGAGTGTGTGAGGCTTTGCTGTCAAGGCTCACACAGTCGCCAGGTTTTGAGAGCACCTTCCAGCCATGGACCCTAAACCCTAAATCCTAAACCCTAAACCGCTGGGATTTTTTCAGTTCAGACTTTAGGACGGCGAGGCCCGAATTCGACGCACTTCCCTAAACCTCCAAACACCTCCTCTGCGCCCAAAGCGGCAAGTGGGGTTTAAGCGAGTCATTCTGGGAAAGCCCAAAAACACCCGAAAACCCAAAGGCGCAAAGCCCCAAAGGAAACAAACATCGGACGCAACCAAAACCCTCAAGACCCAAACTCCGAAAAAAAACTCTCTCTCTCTCTCTCTCTCGCCCTCACACACAAAAAACTAAACACAACGAAACCATACAACCCCTGTACATCCAGAGCTCTCTCGACTTGTGGCTCCCATGAACATATCCCCCCTGAGGCGCTTCATAATCAAACCTAGTCAAGCCAAACCAAGGGTTTAGGGTTTAGGGTTTAGGGCTTAGGGTTTAGGGTTTAGGGTTTAGGGCTGGGAGTCCTATCCGAAGTCGTAGAACCCCAAGCCCTCAGTTCAGCCAAGGCCGGGACGGGGCTGTGCGACGCCTGTGGCGAGGCGCAAGTCATCGGCATGTGCCCTGGAGGGAAAGGCATAGGGTTTAGGGTTTAGGGTTTAGGGTTTAGGGTTTAGGGTTTAGGGTTTAGGGTTTATAGTTTAGGGTTTAGGGTTTAGGGTTTAGGGTTTAGGGTTTAGGGTTTAGGGTTTAGGGTTTAGGGTTTAGGGTTTAGGGTTTAGGGTTTAGGGTTTTCCCTAAGGGTTCATGTACACTTTCGGGTATATGAGCCATACACCTTTTTGGGATTCATTTGGTCCTTTTAAGCTTGAGTTCTAAAGTCTACAAAAAAAGCCCAAGGGTCCATGTACCTAAATAGGGAATACTTGGGCCTTAAAGTACTTCCTGTATGTAGAGACTTTGGGCCCAAGCATATTTTCTATGAGGGTACATGGAGCCTTACGGTAGGGTTTAGGAAGTTTGTAGGGTTTTGGCAGGTGAGGAAGTCTAGTGAGTTTAGGGAGTTTAAGGTGGTTGGAAGGTTAGGAGATTTTTGCAGTTTAGGAAGTTTGTACATTAGGCAGCTTAGGACTTAGGAAGCTTCAGGTTGAAGATGTTTAGTTGTTGCTTTGTGGGTTTAGGGTTTAGATTTTGAGTTCAGGTTTAGGGTTAGGGGCTAGGCGGGAGGGGATGGCGACATCGTGTTTTGAGGGTCTAGAGCTCCCCGTATGACCACCCTAAGCAAGAGTATATGTGCACCGAATGTACGTTGGCTGCCCTTGACTCCGAAGACCCTGAGCCCTGTGAACCCCAAGCCCTCCCCCCCAAGACCGGACAAATCCAACAGTAATGGCAACCCTAAGCCCCAAACTCGGGGTTATAGGGTTTGGGTTTAGGGATTGGGGTCGGGGGTTTAGGGTCTAGGGTTTGGGGTTCAGTGTGTAGGGCTGAGACTTGAGATGCTGTAGGGCTCAGGGTTTATAGGGTCTGGGGTGTAGGCTTGGGGTTTAGGGTTCAGGGTTTGGTGTGTATTTGGGGTTGAGACTTTGGGGTACTACAGGGTGCAGGGTTGGTGTATGTTTTTTGTTCTTTAAGTGTTTATGGTTGCCTAAGTTAGGGTTTACAGAGTTTCGGGGGAGGAGGGCAGGAGGGGAGGTAGTTTTCAGACTTCAGGGTGTTTTGGGTCTAGGGTTAGGGTTTCGGCTATACGCCTACCCTAGAAGCCCAAAGCCCCAAACCCCAATCCCTGGACCCGAAACCATAAACCGCAAACCTCAGACCCCAAACTCCAAACCCTAAACCCCAGACCCCAAACTCTAAACGGCGCCAAACCCTAAACCCTAAATCCCGAACCCTAAACCCCAAACCCCAAACCCTAAACCTTCAGTATGAACCCCAAGGATCATCATGGCCATCTTCAGCGTCATCGGCTCATTCGGCTGCTTGGCCCCCTGGCCTGTTCAGCAGTAGGGTTTAGGGTTTAGGGTTTAGGGTTTGGGGAGGGAACCTTAAGAAAGCTTAGGGAGCGTTAAGGAGTAGTGGCAAGTATTCGGGAACTTGGGGTTACATACCTCTTCCCCCCCCCCCCCCCCTACCCGCGTCCCTTAAGAACCCTATAAAACCTAGAGCCGGAGCCCGCAGCGGGTTTAGGGTTACAGGTATTCTCGGCACGTCGCATGCTGAATCCAAAAGCTCGTGGGCCGCTTCTCCCCAACCGAGCGCTAGAACGCAAAATCCCGCCTTCCGGGCTTAACTGAGATTCTGAGTAGGTTCAGGGTTCCAGGAGCTTGGGAATCTAGATTCCAACTCTTTCTGGCTGGGGCTCCTTTCTTGGCCCTGACCCCTTCCAGCTGAAAGGTGTTCTTTGCCTTCTTCATGCGCTTCAATGCCGCCTCCTGCTCTGGCTTGCTTTAGGCTTCAGGGCTTTTCGTTCGGGTTTCGAGTTTAGGGCTTAGGGCTTAGGGTTTAGGGCTTAGGGTTTAGGGTTTAGGGTTCACGGCTTAGGGCTTAAGGGCTTTCTTTTAGGCTTCAGGGGCTGTTCCGGGTTGAGGCTTCAGGGGTTTGGGTTACTACCCTCCCCTAGCCCTGCTTCGCCAGGCCCTCTGCCAGCCTGCCTTCTCTTAAGTCCCAAAAGTACCAGTTTAGGGTTTAGGGTTTAGGGTTTAGGGTGCTCCCATTCCCCCCCTCGAAACCCTACTAGACCCTAGACCCTAAACGCTATGCCGGCCCAAAAACCCTGATCCGTATAACCCTAAACTATATATCCCCTAAACTACTCGACCAAGCGCCCGGAGCTTTAAACCCCCTCCGGCTCGACCCCAAAACCCCAAATTTTCGACTTCTTGCCCTAGGATGCTCATCCAGCTCCCATAATTAGTCCTTGAAGTGTATAAGGAGGGAAAAAAAGGGAGGTTTCACCTCCGCAAACCCATCCAACACGCCGCCAGGGTCGGCGGACCCGAATCCCTAAACCCTAAACCCTAAACCTTAAACCCTAAACCCTAAACCCGCCTTGCCTCGCTCCCAGCACCAGCGGTCCGAAATTTGAGGACATCGTCTTCAAGCGCGATATCTTGAAGGCCTTCCAGCTGCCGCTTCGCTGCAGGGTTTAGGGTTTAGGGTTAGGGATTACAGGATTTAGGGTTTAGGGTTTAGGGTGCTGTTTGGGGTTTTGGGGCTTTTAGGGTTTACAGGGTTTGCAGGTTTTTTTAGGTTTTATAGGGTTAATAGGGTTTATATAGAGGGTCTTCAAGGTTTATAGGGTTGTATAGGGTGTATGTTATCGGGTCTTATAGGGTGTAGAGGGTTGGACTTTGGAGGACCTGTGTATAGACTTTATACGGTTTTTAAGCGTTTAGAGCGTTTAGAGGGTTTAGAGGGAATGTAGGATTGATAGGGTTTATGGGGTTTACTGGATGTTATAGGGTTTAGAGGGGTTTAGGGAGAGGGGTTTTGCGCAATGGAGAGACGCATAGTGTCGTCGTGTCTGTGTGGTTTATGATGAGACATGCGACACCTCTTCGATGCAGCCGTTCTTGCAGCGGCCACTTACTCTGGGGGCAGCAGAGGGCTCTTTTGAAGATCTGCCTACTACTACGCTTCACTTACAACACACACGCATTCACTCCCTCCCTCCCTCCCTCCCTCACTCGCTCACTCACTCACACATTCACGCCCGTAGCCGAGGTACATCCTCACTCCACTCAAGAAGAGCAACGTTTTCGCGAAGGCCAAGAAGAAATCGGAGCTCCGTCGCTGGGTAGAAGAATTCTAAGTTTCGGAGCCCCTGCCTGAACCCTCAACCCAGGTGAAGGCTTAACGGCATTTAGGGTTAGCTTTTGAACGTACTGCAGCTGAAGAGTCTAGGAAGTAGGTTGCCAAGCACGAAGGCAGAGTTGAGGTCTGGTGCTTCATGAGGGTGTAGCTTGGGATTATCAGGGCTTTCCCCTACCGCCTTTGTCTTAGGACTTCCTAAGCCCGAAACCCTAAACCCTAAACCCTAAACCCTAAACCCCACAAACAGAGAGCTGACGTTCCTCACAAAACCGCTTCCTACGCCAAGGCAGGGCTGTGACCATCCACAAGCAAGACTTGGGTCTCAGCTACAGCCCCTCGGCGGCACGATGCCCCCTTTTTTGGGTGCAAGGAGGGGGTTTAGGGTTTAGGGTTTAGGGTTTAGGGTTTTGTTTTCTGGCTGGTTCTTAGGAGGGACTGAGGGAATGAGGGGACCTGTATCTACACTTTCAGGGAGTATATACGGCCCTCATTCCCTCATTCCCTACGAAGAACCAGGCCGTTTTGGGTGCACGGAGGGCCCCCCTTCCCTTCCCGCTGTGTCATAAGTAGAGTTTAAAGAGGACCCTAAATTGGGTTAAGGCTCCGAACTTAGGTTCTAAGTCCCTCCACTACGGCTCGAATCGTAAGGAGCCCTGAACCCTAAACCCTAAGCCCTAAACCCGAAACCCTAAACCCTAAACCCTAAACCCTAGTGTGTGTGTGTGTGTGTGGGGGGGGACCTCCTTGTCACTTGAAAGGGTCACATGAAGAGGAACCTGCCTACCATCAGCTCTTGACCCCCGCCATCACAAAGCCAGGCAAATAGGCCCGTGCCTTTTTTGCCCTTTTTGGGTTGTGAGTTGAGGCTTTGGTTTAGGGATCAGGATTCAGGTTTCAGGGTTTTGGGTTTAGGGTTTAGTGCAGGGTTCACCATGAAAGCCTTTCTTTTGAAATGGTTCATTGGCTGCCAAGAAAAGCGAAAAGAGCTGAGTAATCCCAAGCCCTCAGCCCCAGCCTAAAAAACCCTCGATCCCCCCGCGTGCCTCCCACCCGAAACCCTAAAACCCTAAACCCCAATCCCTAAACCCCAATCCTTAAACCCTAAACCCCAATCCCTAAACCCCAATCCCTAAACCCTAAACCCTAAACCCCAAACCCCCCCCTTCTCCCCCAGGCTATTCCAAGTACAAGGAGCTGGGCATGGCCCCTGGAGCTGCACCTCCAGGGGCTCCAGGGCTGTGGTTCAGCTGGGGTAGGGTTTAGGGTTTAGGGTTTAGGGTTTAGGGTTTAGGGTTTAGGGTTCAGGGTTTAGGGTTTAGGGTTTAGGGTTTAGGGTTTAGGGTTTAGAGTTTAGGGTTTAGGGTTTAGGGTTTAGGGTTTAGGGTTTAGGGTTTAGGGTTAGGGGACTAGGGCCTGGGGCCCCGAATCTAGTGCTTGGAGGGTTCTTGTGTTGAACCCATGAATTCTCGGGTGTATGCAGGGCTTCGTGGTTTACCGGACATCATGTGTGTGTGTGTGGCAATCTGTTTCTGTTTTTGATTGTGTTTCCTGTTTTGGTTGTGTTGATTTTGTTTGTTGTCATCTTCGTTATGACGTTTTGTCTACTATGTACCGTCACAATCATCAGCCGGTAGCATCTTATGATTCTGCTGCTGTCTTCATCTTGTGCATCATCGCCCCGACGAGGCGGAAGTCCAAACCCTAAACCTAAACCCTAAACGCTATACTTGGGGGCCCAGACAGCGACCCTGGTACACCTTCAACCGTCCTGGATCCCAAAAAGCTCCTTAGGGCTTGGGGTTTAGGGTTTAGGGCAAAGGGTTTGCGGTTTGGGGTTTGGAGTTTAGGGCACCCCTTTGAGGAAGAGAAGCTCCGCATGGGATGTGGGGCCCCCAAACACCTAAACCACCTAAGCCCGGAGGCCTGCAACAGCTAGGGCTCAATTTTCAACAGCAACATTTGACATTTGCTCACTTGCATTGTTGTGTATGCTTTGCAGTCTTTTTTCTGTCTTATAGAGTGCTCTTATAGTCTTACTATACTTCGTAATTGAGCTTTGTACTGATGACCACTTGATAAAGTGATTGCAACCTGTTTGGCGGCCGCTGTATATAGCCGTTAAACCAAACCTTTGGGACCAAATGCATCCCATGGTTGTGGCCATGTACCTCATACTACAAAATCCCGATTAGGGCAGATAAGCCAAAACCCTTTTTGGGTTCATGTGGCCACCAAGGTAGAGCAACCAAACTGGGACTTCCAAAGGCTAAACAAATCGCAGATCTTGAAGCACTAAAGCCTATTGCTAGAGCACGCCCACCCGTACCCTAACCCTAAACCCTAAACACTAAACACTAAACCCTAAACCCTAAACCCTAAACCCTAAACCGTGTTCTGGTAACCACTTCTAACCCCGAAAGCTCCAAACTCTGCCCAGCCCCCCCTTGAGGTCTTTCGAGTTGACGAGAGCAACGTGGTGCATCTGGCCGGTCTGATGCCCGACTCGCCAGCCATCTTGCTGCAGAGGGCATCGTTCCGGGCGGCTTAGGGTTTAGGGTTTAGGGTTTAGGGTTTAGGGTTTAGGGTTTAGGGTTTAGGGTTTAGGGTTTAGGGTTTATGTGTAGGGTTATAGAGGCAAGGGCCCCTCAACCCTGAACTCTTTTTTGACCCCTGACTGGCACTGGGATTTTGCAGCAGCACTCAGGCACCTTTTGAAGTGCTCCGGGTTTAGGGTTTAGGGTTTAGGGTGTAGGGTTAGGGTCTAGGGGTTTAGGGTGCACCTCAACGCCACACCAGGGCCGCGGGTTTCGGGCTTAGGGTTCTAATCCAAAACCCTAAACCCATAGCCCACCTACGGCACCGGAGCATTACGCAAGTAAGGCTCTAAGAGTATACACGGGGCGGGTGGGGGTGGTCCGTACTTAGGGTTCAGGGTTTAGGGTTTAGGGTTTCGGGTTTAGGTTTACGGTTTAAGGTCCAGGTTTTGACCCCGGAAGCCTGCCGAATCCAGTGAGCCTTGTGCTGAGGTTCGTGGCAAGGCGCGGGGGGAAGAACGCTCATGTAATCGTGGTTTTCTTTGTGGTGCTTTACTGTAACTTTGCATCCTTAGCCTTTTTGGGCTTATTGGGTTTCTAAATAAGGCAGCTAAAAGTTTAATTCTTTACTACTCTCCTAAGTGCAGCCAAGTTTTTGTTTCGGATGCCAGGAGTCGGGAACTTAGGGTTCAGGGTTTGTGGTTTGGAGGCTTGGGGTTTATGGCCTTTGACATTCTGATGTTTCAATGGGCCACTCCGAGACCCAATCCTCAAGCACCTAAGTTTTAAAGTGCCAAAGGTTTTGTTGGGTAACTCGGTTTCAGCCTCAACCCTAAGACCCGGAACCCCACAGCACCCAAACAACCGCACACCTTGAACACCGTAAAACCAAGACACCAAGCCCCAAGCCCCAAACCCCAAACCCTAAACCCTAAACCCCGAAAACCGAAGGCTTTGGTGGGCTGGAAGTTGAATACGATCAACGGCCGCCGGCTCAAGGCCTCTATTGCTGGTGTTGGGGGGGTTGCGTGCGTTGGGGGGGCTTTGTTTTTTTAACGTTAAAAAACCCCATTTAGGGTTTAGGGTGTTTTTTAACTTTAAAAAAAAACATTTAGGGTTTAGGGTTGTTTTAACGTTAAAAAAAAACCCTATTTGCTGGTTTTGTTGGGTTTTGAGTGCTTTGGGGGTTTGGGGGGTTGAGGGTTTGGGGTTTAGCTTCTAGGTCTTGACGCACACGCTTCAAGGGTTTAGGGCCTCTTTTTTTTTGTTTGGGGGGGGTCTTACTGTGTTGTAGGGTCTAGGGCGTTTATGTTGTAGCGCTTAGGGTTTAGGGCTTGAGTGTTTTCTAGGGGTTTGTCGGGTTCATGGCTGAATCTAAGATCTGGCGAGCAGCTGAGTCCTGAGGATTATATTAGGGATTATACCCCCTATTAGAATCCCTCTTCAGGACTGTTCGAAGAAGAGGGAACATCCCAACTTACATGTACACATGCAATTGCTGCAGCTGGCAGCTCTGCACACGCCGACTCATTGTGCAGTTGACAACTTCGAGCACATCGCACGGCCGAATGAAGCAGACTGTGCTTCAAGCATAGCAAGTCCACAACTTAAAGGAGCGACCCCAAACCGTACACCCTACTAATCGACAGCCTAATGAGACAATCCTAAACCCTGAGCCATAAACCCCACACCCCGTTGTTGCGGACTGTCCGTACAACCCACAAGCACAGCCCAAAGCAGCAGAGATGCTGTGAGTTTTATTCGATTTTCAAGGCATCCACTGAGCCCCGAATATAAGCCCTAAGCAGTTTCCTTGAGCGTTTATGTTAGGGCTTGGGGTTTAAACTCTAAACCCTAAACCCTAAACCCTAAACCCTAAACCTTAAACCCCCCATGGAGCCCCTAGAGCCGAAATTTCTGACAGGTCCGCAAGGAAGCCGAAGTGCAAGAGTTGATCAGCAGGCGCAGCCAGGGTTTAGGGTTTAGGGTTTCGGGTTTAGGGTTAAATTCAAAGGCTTCAGGCTTTGGGGCTTGGGTACGTGCCCTAAGGGTCCATGTACCTTATTCTTCTATACTTGGGCCCCAAAGTCCCTATGTAGGAAGTACTTCAAGGCCCAAGTCTTCCCTATTTAGATACATGGACCCAAACCCTAAACCCTACACCCTAAACCCTGAACCCTGAACCCTGAACCCTAAACCCTAAACCCTAAGCTGAACTGCAGCTGTTCGAAGTCGACTCGACATCGGTTGGTTCTACTACTCCTTTGCCGGACTCGGGACGTTCGTGTCTATATGCCCCCCTGAACCCTAAACTCTACAGAACCTGAGGCAGAATTGGCTTTGCACCCCAAACCCAAAGTCCCTAAACAAGCCCTAAACCCTGAACCCTAAACCATAAACCCCAAGCGCTAAACCCTAAACCCTTATACCTGAACCCTTAGAGCCCCCGGAACGCGCTTCCCCAAACCCTAAACTGCGCCAGGTGTCGCTTCCCGCTCCGGCTCACCTTCTCCGCGCCCCGGAAGTCCAAGGAGCAGGAAAGACAGGACACCCTGAGGGGAGTTTGGGGGGGTTTCGGGTTTAGGGTTTAGGGTTTAGGGCTTAGGGCTTAGGGCTTAGGGCCTAGGGTTTAGGTATTCCAGGCGGTGAAGAATAAGAAGGGGCTTTCTGTACACAGGGGCCTCAGAACACCTTCGGGGTTGAGGGAGAACAGGGCTTTCAGGGCAGGCTGCTCTCAGGGTTTAGGGTTTAGGGTTTAGGGTTTCGGGCTTCAAGGCCTCCTCCGTTTAGACTTGGAGTATCCGGTTTTGGGGGGCTTCAAGTTAGGAAGGCTTAGGGCCCGAGGTCTCGCGGGAGCCGAGCCCCTCATCTTCCTCCTGCTTGGGACTCCTAAACCCTAAACCCTAAACCCTAAACCCTAAACCCTAAACCCTAAACCCTAAACCCTAAACCCTAAACCCTAAACCCTAAACCCTAAACCCTAAACCCTAAGCCCTAAACCCTAAGCCCTAAGCCCTAAGCCCTAAGCCCTAAGCCCTAAGCCCTAAGCCCTAAGCCCTAAACCCTAAACCCTAAACCCTAAGCGAAGGAGATGGAAGGTCGGTCTGCCGAGGGCGTCAACTTCGACGACGACCGGAAGATGCTGGTGGCGGCTGGGATGCGTTTAGGGTTTAGGGTTTAGGGTTTGTGTATGGTTTAGGGTCCCCCCAACGGCACCGCACCGACGCCCTCCTGATTGAAAGAGCTGGGGGGGGGGGGGGGGGGTGACCAAACATCCAAACCGAAACCCAGGCCTTGCAAACCCTATTTTTTCTGTACCCTAAACATCCACAAACCCTTCTTACCAACAATCCGCTGCACCTCTCCCAGGTCATGCTCGGGGTCCTCACGTCCTTCACGAAAGTCTCCGGCTTTGACTTTCAGTGCTCTTGGCGGCAATCTTTGGGATTGAGAGGGCGGGGCGGGGGGGGGGGGGTGGGTGGAGGGGGGGTGGGGGTGGGTGAAGTGGGGGGGGGGGGGGGGGGGATGGGCTGAATTCGGGATTCTTCCGGACTAGTTTAGGGTTTCTGGCCCTCAGTGCTTGGGACCCGTAAAGTTTCGGACCGTAGCTTGAGGTTTCTTGAAGCTCGACTGGTCAGGGCTCTTTTTGTCACCCTAAACCCTCAACCCTCGACCCTAAACCCTAAACCCTACACCCTAAACCCTAAACCCTAAACCCTAAACCCTAAACCCTAAACCCAAATTACAGCTCAGGGCTTCTAGGGTTTATCGTGCTTCTGTGGGCGAATGTGCGGTGGCATCCTTGCGGCTTCTTCTGCCCTTCCAAAGGGCTTAGGGGTAGCGGATGTAGGAGTCTTAGGGTTTAGTTTAGGGTTTGGGGTTGAGGGTCTGGTGTTTGGGGTACAGGGTTTAGGGTTTAGGGTTTAGGAGTCTGTGGATTGAGGGTTTGGGGTTCAGGGGTTTAGGGGGTTTAGGGTTTAGGGGTAGGGACTAGGATTCAATCCGAAGCCCCAAACCAGGTCCATATGTGGTGCACCCCGACCACCACCAAAGCAAAGCAGCCAACTTTACAGGCAATTCTATACTCTTTAAACCCCTAAACCCCTGAGCCCCTAAAACCCAAAACCCCAAACCCTCTCGCTTGACCCTGCAGACGTTACATGGGTTGGTGGTCTCTTTAAGTAGGGTTTCTGTTTTGTAGGGCATTTGTTCAGGGTTCTTGTTAGGGTATCTAGGGGCTAGATGAAGGTGTAAGGGTAATAGATAAAGAGGCCACCGGCCTTCATAATGCCACCCTAAACCCAAAACCCTAAACCCCTAAAACCCTAAACCCCAAACCCTAAACCCCCCTAAACCCCCCTAAACCCCCCTAAACCCCTCTAAACCCCTAAACCCCTAAACCCCTAAACCCCTAAACCCCTAAACCCCAAACCCTCTCCTTTGACCCTGCCGACGCGATGACTGGGTTTTTGAGTACTTTGTCCTGGGCTCCTAGTCTAGCTACTTATACCTAAACAGTATAGGTCCCCTAAACCCTAAACCCTAAACCCTAAACCCTAAACCCTAAACCCTAAACCCTAAACCCTAAACCCTAAACCCTAAACCCTAAACCCTAAACCCTAACCCTAAACCCTAGTAGGGATGAGCCAGGTGGCCCGACACGTTCACCGAGCTGGTGAAGATCGCGCAGATGCGCCTCAGAGTCCCCACCAGCACTCCAAGGTTTTTCCCTAAACCCTAAGCCCTAAACCCTAAACCCTAAACCCTAAACTTAAACCCACTAGCACTCCAAGATTTGAACCTTAAACCCCATAAATCCTATGAATCCTATAAACCCTATCAACCCTATAAACCCAATAAACCCTATAAACCCCATAAACCCTATAAACCCTATAAACCCTATAGCCTATAACCCTCTAAATCCTTTAAATCCTATAGATCCTGTAGGGTTTAGGGCGAAGGACGGCCACATGGTTCAGGGCTTTACGCAAGCTTCGGCGGAGGGTAGGTCAAGGAAATTCAAACTACCCTTGAGTGGTTCACCTCAAATATTCGCAATCTATTCCTAATCGGGTTTCGGGTTTAGGGTTTGCCTTGAGAAGCCAAAACCCACTTTTTTACAGGTTACCTATATGAACTCTCTAAAGCGGGTTTAACGCCTACAAAAAACGATGTTTCGGGTTGTTAAGAAAAGGTTTAGGAGTTGCTCCTGTATTGTCAGGGATTCTTCGAAACCCCAAACCCTACACCCCAAACCCTAAACCCTAAACCCTACACCTAAACCCTAAACCCTAAACCCTAAACCCTAAACCCTAAACCCTAAACCCTAAACCCTAAACCCTAAACCCTACACCTAAACCCTAAGCCCCAAAAGCAAGATGACCCCAGAACCCCAAGGGTGGAGCCCCTTGAAGAGAGGGCCCACCCAGACCCGTAGGATGTGTGCCCCAACCTCAAGCGGTTTTGAGGGTTAAGGGTTAGTGGATTCGGTGTTTAGGGTTTAGTAGGGCTAGTGAGTTAGGTGTTTAGGGTCTAGGTGTTTAGGGTTTAGGGCTTAACTTAGGGTGGGGGGGGGGGGGGTTAGGGATCCCTGGCTGCGGCTCTAAGAGCTTGGGAGTTAAAAGTGGGCTTGTGAGACCTCGTTCACGCAGATCTAGAGTTTCGGGATGCACGCCTTGCAAGGAGGGCCCACCCTCACAATGCTAGGTTTAGGGTGTAGGGTTAGTTCAGGGTTTAGGATTTCGGATTTAGGGTGCTTATAACAAGTAGGGTCCTGATAACCCTACTTAGGACTAGGAGGCCCTCTCCTTGGGGTCATTGCAGAGTCGAGGGTAGTAGGATTCAGGGTTGCTAGGATTGAGCACTTAGGATGGAGAGGGCTTATCGCTTCAGAATCTTCAAGCACCGCAAACTCTGTAAATACCCTAAACCCGAAACCCTAAACCCCAAACCCTAAACCCCAAACCCCTGTCCCTAAACCCTACCGGCTTTAAGTTCTCGACCCAACCTCCGTGGATTTGGAGGTGCTAGATCTCCCAGGGGATTTGCTCTCCCGCGCCCTATACCTTGCTTCTTGAAAGTATACCGGAGTTGTTGTTTAGGGGTTCGGGTTTTGGGTTTAGGAGTTCCTGTTAGGCCTTAGGGTTAACATCGCACCAGCACGCTGAAGCAGGATTCAAGAGTATCGGTTAAAGGTTGCTTGCGTTTTGCTACCTACACCCCAAAGTGTTCAAACACGAACCCTGCGCCCTAAACCCCAAACCCCAAACCCTAAACCCTAAACCCTATGCAAACCCAGCCCAACCCTAAGCCCGCACAGGTTCTCCTTCAATCTGAACTTCTTTGCGCCGGAGTGTTCGGCCGAGACGCCCTACATCAACAAGTGGTTGGGCTTCCTAGTACCTTGGATCGTTTAGGGTTTAGGGTTTTGGGTTTTGGCTTTTGGGTTTAGGGTATGAAGGTTGCAAGTTCAGAAAGGATTTGGGATTTTTATGGGCATTTCCCAAATAGCCAGGGTCCCCGAAAAGTAAAGTTTAACAAACATGCAAAGCCCTTTTCTCTGGGAAACCCAAAGTTGGTCCCCTGATTTGGGAAACCTTCGATTGTAGGGTTGAGCGGTTGAGAGTGGATGTCGGGCCGAGGGTGGTTTCAGAGGGTTTTCTTCGGTGCAGCGGCTTTTGTGCTTTAAAGCTTCAGAACTCAATGCCATCATGTTCTGCAAACCCTATGCCCTGCACGCCTGTTAACCCTAAACCCTGAACCCTAAACCTTGAACCCTAAACCCTAAACCCTGAACCCTGAACCCTAAACCCTACACCCTAACCACCCCTGCACTTGGGGTCTAGGTGATCCCCTACTTCATGATCATGCCCCTTACGGCGGCCTACATCATGGCGCTGATGGCGACCCTCCCTGGACTGGGTCCAGAGGCCAGTCTGGAAGCAAGGGTTTAGGGTTTAGGGTTTAGGGTTTGGGGTTTAGGGTTTCGGGTTTAGGGTTTGGGGTTTGGGGTTTGGGGTTTAGGGTTTCGGGTTTGGGGGGTTTGGGGTATAGGGTTTAGGGTCTAGGGTTTGGGGTTTAGGGCTCGGGATACAAAATCGTTGGGCCAGGGTTCAGGGTTTCGGGTTTAGGGTTCAGGGTTCGGGATATAAACTCGTTATGCCGAACGCCTGCAAAAACATGTCTGGTGCAGTGTTCAGGGTTCAGTGATTTAGTGCTGTTAGGGTCCGGGGTATAAGCAGGAGAACTGGAGCGTCAAGTTTTCCCTAAGGGTCCATGTACCTGAAAAATGTATACTTGGGCCCAAGTCCCTACATAGGAAGCACTTTAAGGACCAAGTATTCCTTGTGTAGGTGCATGGACCCTGAAACTTTCGGCAGCATCTGAAACAAGGCAGAGAAAGTACCACTTGAGACCAGCATTGCAGAACACTCTACGACCGAAACCCTGACAGCCCTGCAAGAAAAAGTCTAAACCTTAAACCCACAACCCTACACCCTAAACCCCAAGACTTGTGCAAACCCTGCGAAAGTCCGATCTCTTAAGCCCAAAGCCATGTCATCTTAAGCCCTGAACCCGAAACGCCTCCCCAAACATTAACCCCCACCCCCCCCCTCCCCCAGCCCCCGTAATATTAATTACACATTATCGGTAATTGTAGTAAAAGAGGAGAGGGGGCGGGGGTATTTGATATTAGGGGGAAGGGGTTAAACCTTAAGCAGGCCCTTGGGATGAATTACATTTCCTCTTTGGGTTTAAGAGGATGATATTCAGCAATAGTTTTTTCAGAGTTTTAAGGGCACCATCCCACAACCCTGCAAAAGAAGCTTAGCTTTTGCAGGCCTTTGTAAACCCTAAACCCTCAACCCTCAACCCTAAACCCTAAACCCGAAACCCTAACCCTAGACCCAGCCTTTCAGGCCTTTCAGACAAAGAAGGCCCTGCTCACCAACGCCTGGGCGCGGTGCATTTGTATGGTGCTCCTGGCCTTGTCTCTCGGTCGTTTAGTTTGGGGTTTAGGGTTTAGGGTTTAGGGTTTGGGGTTTAGGGTTTAGTGTTCAGGGTTTAGGGTTTACGGTTTAGGGTTTAGGGGTTGGGGTTTGGGGTTTGGGGTCTGGGGTTTGGAGTTCGGGGTTTGGGGTTCGGGGTCTGGGGTTTGGGGTGCGGGGTTTGGAGTATGGGGTGTTGTTTTGTATTTTGCCGTATTGGCTTTGAGAGGATCATCTTTAGGAATAACAATCAGCAGAGGGTTTCTTTTGGGGGGGGGTGGGGTCTGAATTTGAAGCAATCACCCTAAACCCTAAACTTAACCCTAAAACCTAAAACCTAAACCCAACATCTCAAGCAATTCTCGTAAGAATTCAGGCTACCTTTCCATCTGGACACCATTCTCATTCCCTTCGCGTGCATCAACGCGGGCGACGGCATCTACGTCCTGTCGGATGTGCCCAGCGTCTTTTGCAGCCAGGGCCCTCGGTTGAGGGTTTAGGGGTTCAGAGTCAGGGTTTAGGGTTTCGGGTTTAGGGCTTAGGGTTTAGGCTTTAGGCTTTAGGGTTCAGGGTTTAGGGTTTAGGGTTTAGGGTTCAGGGTTCAGGGTTCAGGGTTTAGGGTGTATGGGCCCTTGGGTTGTACAGGGTAGCTAAAGAGGTATAAAAGTGGTCCCCTTTTAAGGACCCATATTCGGAGCTTGCGATCAAGCGTTGACCGGGCTGTGGGTCGTCACCTTTGCTTCTCAGCCCGCGAGTTTATTCACCCTGAGCCCTCAAATGGACCCTAAACGGGTTTATTCATATGCCTTTATAGGGTTGTAGGTATATGACCCCAATTCTGGGGTTCATGTGGCCCCAAAGGTAGAAGCCCTCAACTGCGTAGAGCAGATGCTTCCCAAGGCACGAATGACACGACCTTCATGACGATGTTCAGCGTGGGAACTATGGCCATGCTGGTCTTCAGCCCTCTGGCCCTAAGCAGTCAAGCAAGGGTTCAGGGTTTAGGGTTTAGGGTTTAGGGTGTAGGGTTTAGGGTTTAGGGTTTGGGGTTTGGGGTTTGGGGTTTACGAGAATACTTGGTGGTCCGCGATCTGGCACAAGACTTCTGTTCAAGTATCGAGACTTACAAAAAGCGATGCAGATCTTCTGGACTTGCATTTGTCCGAAGTATGTTGTTCTAAGAGGCGATTCTTTGCACGTGTTCGCAAAAAGGGCATGAGCCTTGTGACAGCGCGTGTTGTTCCAGAATCGTCAAGCATGCGTGTCCAAAGAGGCGAAAGCGTGGTAAACGCCAGTTTTTTTGGCATGGTCGCCACGTGAATGGAGCTCATTAACCCATCCTTTTGAATTTGTTGAGCTCGCTGCAGTCGCTGCAATGCGGAAATGCTTGATCTCCAACCCCATGCCCTGTAGCCCAATACTAGTGACCCTACACCCTCAAACCCCAAACTCCGAACCCTAAACCCTATAAACCACCCTAAAGTCCTAAAACCAGAAGTGCAACTCCCATCAAAGAGTTGACTCGAACCCAGGCACTGGTTTCAGCTGGCTGGTCTACTGCATTTGGTGCAGCGGCCCGTCCGCAACTGGGTTTAGGGCTTGTGGGGTTTCGAGTTTTTAGTGCAACAAATGCAACTTTCCCCAGTTGCTGATGTGCACACGACATGCGATGGTTGAAAGGCATATCTGCCCGCAAGCGCCTTATGACGCTTAAAGTACCCTAAACCCTGAACCCTAAACCCTAAACCCTAAACCCTAAACCCTAAACCCTAAACCCTAAACCCTAAACCCCAATACAGCCATCTCATAGGTCTGCAGGCCTCAGGGCTCGGGGCCATGCTTCACAGCGCGCATCTGAAGCTCCACAGCTTTAAATGCCAGCAAATGCGAGGCGGTTTAGGGTTTAGGGTTTAGGGTTTAGGGTTTAGGGCTCAGGCCTCAGAGCTTAGAGCTTAGGGCTTAGGGCTTAGGGCTCAGGGCTTAGGGCTTAGGGCTTAGGGCTTGGGGCTTAGGGCTTAGGGCTTAGGGTTTTGCGGCTGCATGCAGCCCAGGCTACCAGTGGCAGCAAGGATCCCGCCACAGGGGAATGATCCCTTTCTATGCCGCTGAGCTTGCACTGGGTTTACACTACCCCTACTTGGAGGTTCAGGTTGCTTAGTAACCCAATTAGAACTGCAGTTATAGCCCAACTATATCCCCATTAGGGTACTCAAGGGGCTTATAAGTGGGTCATAGCTACACTTAAAAGTGGCTACTAACTACCCGGAACTTGCAAGTGCCTTTAGACCGCTTCGGCCCCATCTTCAGTCTTCGAGTGCTGCGACACGCGCTCGTGCAGGAATCTTTGCTTTTGGACTCGAATGGTGTTCGGGAACAACACCCGAAAAGGAACCATCAAGGCCTTTCCAGGCGCAGCAAGTAGTTGCTGAGGCCGAAACCGTAATTACACCCGAACCCCCCCCCCCCGCCCCCCGGCAAACATGCGCGGGCTTAGGGTTCGGGTTCAGGCTTTGGGGACAAAGATCTTCTGGATCTTATGGTCTCATTTCGGAGCCATTGCCCTAGAGCCTGAACCGTGCGTTTTCACATGCATGATTCAGGGTCGGGTCCAGGGTTTCGGGTTCAGGGACCCTAAACCCCAAGCCCCAAACCCGCTACCCTAAAATCAACTTTCGTTCCAGACGCTCATCAAGCCCGATCGTCATTAACCAATAGCCCAGAGACCCTCCTCAACACGAGCTCAAACTTAATACAGGAACCTGAAGGGCTTAGAGTTGTAGGGTTTTTGGGAGGTTTTACGAGTTTTTGGGGTCTTTGGGCTTTGGGGTTGTAGGGTTTGGGGGCTTAGGCCAATATTCCCTCCCCCCCCCCCCCTTGTTCTAGTCCCTAACTTAATTGCAATACACTACCCCAATTACCCATACCAAATAAACGAGGCCCGTATAAACGAGGCCCTTCTGTTAAGCCAGGAAACCACTCGGAGGTTCATGGGTATGTATAACCCCCAAAGTTTGGTCTACATATAACCTACTCAGTGGACTTAGGGGCCTTATACGTGGGTAGTTTCCTAAATTAGGGTCCCTTTTTGGGTACCCATTGTAAGTACTCAAAAAGGGACCCCACGGAGTGACATTTTGAGAACTTCCCAAGTACAGTTACGATTGGGATTGTAAGTACTCTCAGCCTCCAAGCTACGATATCAGGGGTACCTTTTGGGGGTCCTTAGAATAAGGGGATCCTACTATTTGGGGGGTCTGTTTTGGGGGTCCCCTACTTGTCGTATAACCCCCGCCATATATAGTAGGTTTTGGGGTCCCGAGGTTGCGATGGTCGAAGTTTCCACCTTTGGCCAGCGAGGCGCTTCCGACGAAGCCCCTAAATCCCAAGCCCTACCCAGGGTTAGGGTTTAGGGTTGAGGGTTTAGGGTTTGGGGTTTGGGGTTTAGGGTTTAGGGTTTAGGTTTTAGGGTTTAGGGTGGGTGAATTCACGGTCATCTTGTCAGGGATTGCAGGCAGCGGCCCTAAACCCTAAATCCTACAAACACCCCCCCCAGGGCATGTCATGGACGCCCCCCCCCCCCCCCCGCCCACCTACCCACCCCCGGCTTAGACAAAGACCCGCCCGAACCTTCACCAAAACCCACCATCAACCCACGGGAAAATGCCACGCAAAGATCCGTAGGCAGACAACTACTCCTTTTTCAGTTATTGACCCAGAGTTCGCAACCCTGAAACCCCAAGGAGCCCTCAGATAACGGAATGGACAGCAGAATGCAGTTGCAATCATCGGGTTTAGGTAGGGTTTGGGGCAAAGGCCGAAGACCACGCGATGCCACTTCCATGTTCCGACTCGCTATGCGAAGTCCGCAATGTCCATATGCTGTCCGTATAAGTGCTTTTTCCTGAGGTGCAGTGGCTGTGCTAATTCTACTGTGCTACTGTAGCCATCTTCCCTAGCAAGGCAAAATGTGTTAAAACAACCAGCCCTAGACCTGCTTAGGGAATCTGAGGGGGCCTGGGGGGCTTGGGGGACGGGGGGGGGGGGACTGTGGAACAATCAGGAACATTGCTTTGTGGTGCTTTACTGTAACTTTAGATCTTTAGCCTTTTTGTGTCTATTGGGCTTCCTAGTAAGGCAGCTGAAAATTTAATTCATAGCTACCCTCCTAAGTGCAGCCAAGATTCGGCTGTGTACCCTTCTTGGACCTGCTAAGCCCTAAAACCTAAAACGCTTCAACCCTTGCACCCTTGAACCCCTAAACCTGAAACCGCCTACAACCACAACGGCGGGGTGCCAGGCTACTCAGCAGAGGTGCGAGCTCGGGTGATGGAGACGCTTGGCCCGCAGGGCTTCATTACTTAGAAAAGCAAACATGTGAACTTTCGAGGTTTAGGACCGAGGTGCGTGGGGGCCAGGAGGGTTTCGTTGCGTAAAAAATCCTGAAGCTTCACGTCTCTCATGGTTTGAAAGCTCTCGAATATGGACAACCGCCTTCACAGGAATGTCTGTGCGGTACGCGCCTTCGACGTCTCGGCACAAAAACTCGAGGAGCGTGAGGCGCTCACGCGAGCGACTTGGACTCGAGGAGTGTCCGGTTTGCGGGCTCAGGTTGAACAAAACCTGGGGGGGGGGGGGGGGGGTCCGACATTAGGAGTGCCTTCTTGGGTCCTTTTTATGAGGGAATCCAGGGCACAGGGCACACTAGATGGGCTAGGTGTCATCCTATATTTGCCCCTCTGTGCGTGATGTGAACACTGAACCTGTTTTTGTTTCGGGCAACCTTTCGTGTGGCACAGTCGCAGCAATACTGTCAGAGGAAATACTGAAGGACTTGTAGCCCACACTGTAAAGTTACAGATATCTCCGCTGCAGCCAGGGTTACTATACTTAGTCGACTGCATCATGACTACACTCAAAGCAGTCGTTTTGTGATGGTTGCGTTAAAGTCTTGTCGGCGGTGTGAACAAGTGAGCATCCCAGATTGTTTTGGCGACGCAAGCATGTTACCTGTTTATTTCCACGCCGAAGCCTAAACCCTGAACCCCAGACCTTAGTCCCTAAACCCTAAACCCCAAAAAAACTAAACCCTAAACCCTAAACCCTACACCTACACCCTACAAACCCTAAACCCTAAACCCTAAACCCTACAAACCCTACAAAACCCTACACCCTACAAGCCCAAAACCCTGAACCCTAGACTCCAAGAATAGCTCATCAAGGCAAGGGACATGCTCGGCGGACGCGCGGATGGCCGCGGACAAGAGGAGACACTCGACTTGGAGGTTCATGGGATCCTTATGACTCCTCGGGTTTAGGGTTTAGGGTTTAGGGTTTAGGGTTTAGGGTTTAGCGTTAAGGGTTAAGGGTTTAGGGTTTGGGGCAAAAACCACAGTTATAAGTCTACTTACAACCTCAAGGGACTTACGGGGCTTATAAGTACAGCTATAATTTGGGTGATAAGTACCCTGAACCTCCAAGGACAGCATTGCCTGCGAGGTTCGGCTGCTTAGGGCTTCGGGTTTGGCGATTTCGGGGTTTACGGGTTTAGGGGTTTAGGGGTTTAGGGGCTTAGGGGTTTAGGGGTTTAGGGGTTTAGGAGTTTAGGGTTTAGGGTTTAGGGATACTCTGTAACATGAAAGTGAAGCTTCAACCCAACACCTTCAGACTTAAACTTCATCACGTTCGCACTGGGGATGACAAGTGCTACAAGGTGCAGGGCTCACGGGCTTACATTCCTGAAGTCTACAACAGCCGGTATGCCTGTGAATCAAGGGGTCTGCACCTTGCGGGTTTGCGTCTTGGGTGTAGAACCCCTAAACCCTAAACCCTAAACCCCTAAACCCCAAGCCCTCAACCCTAAACCCTCGCTTCAGGCCTATGGCTTTCAAGACTTCAGAGTTTCGTGGGGCAGTTTGCAGTCTTACTTTGGGGAATCCTGGGTCCCTAGTTTAGGAACCCTAAACCCTAAGCACTAAGCCCTAAGCCCTAAGCCCTAAACCCTAAACCCTAAACCCTAAACCTAAACCCGAAGCCCTTTCCTAAAGCCAGGTCACTAGCAGGGATCCTAGACTCAGTAAACCCCAAACCCCATCCCTAAACCCTAAACCCTAAACCCTAAACCCTAAACCCGAGGGTCTCAGCCGACTTCGGGAAGCCAAGGAAGACCCAGGAGAGCGAGTTGGGTCAAGATGGCCCGGGGGCCTCAGTCTCTGCAAGCCTTGGCTCATAGGGTTAACTCCCTACACTCTAAACACTAAACCCTAACCCCTAAACCCTAAACCCTAAACCCTAAACCCTAAACCCTAAACCCTAAACCCTAAACCCTAAACCCGAAGCTGCAACCTTTTCGGTGTAGAAGTTGAGCCCTATGTTTTTTTGGTTTCCTACGTAACTGGGCAAGTACGTTCGGAAGGGCTGTTGAGTCCAAAACCGCAAGCCTTGAGACCCAAGCTGTTGATGGTTTTAGGGTTTAGGGTTTAGGGTCTAGGGTCTAGGGTTTAGGGTTTAGGGTTTAGGGTTCCTAAACACTATAGCCCGAGGAGGGTACGTCACAGGCAGTCGGGGTCAACCACAAGCCCTCGCTTGCAAAGAGCCTGCGGTGCATCGCGTCCCCTAAGGGTCCATGTACCTAAATAGGAAATCCTTAACTGAGCCTTCAAGTACTTCCTATGTAGGGACGTTGGGGCCCAAGTGTAATGGGAACAAGGCACATGGACCCTTAGAGATCTGACTCTTCCCGGGAGCATCCCCAGTATGCTACCTATGTTACCGCTGGTTGAAGTTTGCACTCCCTTGCTCGCTACCCCACTTGCCGTTTGTCCCATGGCATTAACCGCACCAGACCCTGTGGTCCCTAAGCCTTCCAAGCCCTAAATCCTTACTAATAAGCCCTGTAAACTAAACCCTGACCTCTACAGCCTAAACCCTAAACCCTAAACCCTAAACCTAAACCCTAAACCCTGAACCCTAAACCCCACGCCCGAGAATCCCCTAAACCTTCTTTCCTTTCTTTCCAAGGCCTGCAGCAGCGCCTCGCCATCACGAAGGCCAAGAAGAAGCCCTCCGACCAAAGCCTGGGGGGGGAGGTGTGGGGGGTTTAGGGCATAGGGCTTAGGGCTTAGGGCTCAGGGCTTAGGGCTTAGGGCTTAGGGCTTAGGGCTTAGGGCTTAGGTTATTTAGTTTTTAGCCCTACGGGTCCATGTACCTAAATAGGGAATACTTGGGCCTTAAAGTACTTCCTATATGTAGGGACTTTGGGGCCCAAGTACATAATAAGGTGCGTGGACCCTTAGGGTAGGGCTTAGGAGTTCACAGCAGGCAATTAGGGTTTGTGTAGGGTTCAGGGACTTAGGGTTCTGGGGTTTTGGCTTCGAGGGTTGTTCAACCCACAGACACCAAATCCTTTGCAAAGCCCTAAGCCCTAAACCCTAAACCCTGAACCCCCTCAGCCCTCAACCCCTCGAAGAGTTCTATACCCGAAGCCTGGGGATTAGGCGCTTGTGCCTTGGGATCTAAGGTCCAGCAAACATCGGGCTAGGATTCAGTCTGCTATCGAGCATGCCATTTTGCGCGATACACACTTACTATGCTCAAAGACTCATGGGTCATTTGTACAAAAGGCGCCTGCTTTGCTCAAGTTCCCGTTGGCGTTGCTTTTTTGCATTTGGTGCCCAAGGGTTTGGTGTTTTTTGGGGCTTAAGGAGGGTGGGCCTGGTCACCCTAAACCCTAGACCTTACCCCTAAACCCTAAACCTAAACCCTAAACCCCCTGGACAAACGCCGAGGTTTTTGCTGAAGAAGACTTGGCCGACCAAGGCGGATGGGAATCTGCTTACGCCCCATGGCGTCCACCTCCAAAACCCTAACACCCTAAAAACCCTAAATCCTAAACTCTAAACGCTTCAGGGGGTTTAGGGGTTTAGGGTTTAGAGTTTAGGGTTTAGGGTTCAGGGGTTTGGGGGTTTAGGGTTTTGGGGGTTTAGGGGTGCAGGGGTTTAGGGGTTCGAGGTTGAAGCAGATGTTGGGCTGGGCACATCCCCGCAATTCCACTTGCCGAGTGAGACTGATGTTGCTCTGCTGCATGCCCTCTAGGGCGTTGGGTGCCGCTTCCCCGCGGCGTTGAGGGAAAGGTTCGTAAACCTGAAACCCTAAACCCTAAACCCTAAACCCTAAACCCTAAACCCTAAACCCTAAACCCTAAACCCTAAACCCTAAACCCTAAACCCTAAACCCTAAACCAAAGGAATCCCTGAAGCCCAAGTCGTTTCCCAAGGTATGGCTGGATCTTCTTGGTGAACACCCTTCTCAGGACACCCTCCCGGCCCAGCGTCTTTTAGATCCGCCTACAAGGAGGGCCCCCCCCCTCTTGCTATAGTAACTGTAGTTAAGGGATTTATAGCCTAAGTTAGGTTTAGGGTTTAGGGTCCTTATAACCCAATTTAGGGTCCTTATGACTCTACTTTGTTTCCAGAGGCGGGGCCCCTCCTTGCAGAGTTACCCACGCATGCACACGTTTATGTGTGTGTGTGTGTATGTGCATACTATCTATCTATATCTATATATACTTGTCTACAAATATACAGTTACATACATGTATATACATATATACATATGTATATAGTTACATACATTATATATATATATATATACATATGTACCAAAATAGATCTTCTATTCTTATGTACGCATATATGCATATTGTTAATGTGCGTGTATAACACATGGATATCGGAACCCTGGACATGGGCCATGTGCATTACTTGCAGTGTAGATCTACCCGCTTTCAAGTGCTTGGCTCAGAAAGAAAGCATCCAAGCGCACATGAACGTATCCACCTTAAACCCTAAACCCTAAACCCTAAACCCTAAACCCTAAACCCTAAACCCTAAACCCTAAACCCTCTGAAAGCTGTAGAGTGGCACCTATACGGCCTTAGGATTCAGGGTTGGTTCCCTAAGGGTCCATGTACCTATACCTGTCCCTTAGAGTACCTCCTACTTAGGGCCCCAAGTACATGGACCCTTAGGGGTTAGGGTCATGGCTTAGGGTTATGATCCCGAACGCGCAAACTCTCCTGTGTCGGCACCCAGAAGTCCACTGTAGGGTTTAGGGTTTGGGTTTCGTGTTTAGGGTTTAGGGCATTGTTTCTGCAGGAATCTTCTCTCGAATGCTGCCATCAAGCTCACCAGCAACAATCTCGCTGCTCGGCGGAGAATGTTTCTCGAGGGTTTAGGGTATAGGGTTGTAGCAGAGGGGCATAGTTGAATACCGCTTGTCTCCTAGTCTCCCCCTTTGTATACCCGAATACACTAGAAAACACCAAGTACCCGTTCTCCTTCAATGGGCCCTTTGTGAGTAACTGTGAGTAGGGTTTTTTTGGGGCTACTGGCGTTGACTTGAGAGCAATATGCCTTCAAAGGGCATACCGTATAAGGAGCCTTCGGTTTCTCGACCATTCTGATGAAAGAGTACATACGTCGAAGTCTTGGATTTTCTTTGCCCCTGTTCAAGGCACAGGGGTTCCGCGAGATGTCGGGTTTGGAGTTTGGTGATGGGTTCAGGGTTTGACATGAGAGTAGCGTATACCACCCCAAGACCTCATTTTCCAACCCTAATCCCTAAACCCTAAACCCGAAGCCTAAACCCATTTGCTGTTCCCAGCTATGGGTGCAGACCAGAACTTGAACCCCCACAGCCCCTTGTGCCTTGAACCTAGGGGGGATTTGGAACATGTTTTGAGATTTCTGGGGTTCCTAATCCCTTATACAAACCTATGCACCCATAGAAACTTGAGCTTTTCTGGGGTCACCAATTCCCCCTTGGACACCCCTAAGCCCTAAGCCCTAAATCTTAAACCCTAAACCCTAAACCCCCGCCCCCCCCCCCCCCCCCCCCCCAAACCCTAGACCCAAGCCCTAAACCCTAAACCGTAAACCTCTAAACCCTAAACTCTAAACCCTAAACCCTAAACCCTAAAGCCTAAACTCTAAAACCTAAACCCTAAACCCTAAACCCTAAACCTGAACCCTAAACCCTAAGCCCTAAGCCCTAAGCCCTAAGCCCTAAGCCCTAAGCCCTAAGCCCTAAACCCTAAACCTAATCCCTAAACCCTAAACCCTAAACCCTAAACCCTAAACCCTTAGGGTTTAGGGTTTAGGGTTTAGGACGCGAGAAACCTCAAAGCCTCAAGCCCAATACCGGTCTAAAAACAAATTCAGGTGGTGATCGGGGCCGGATGCCAGATGCTGATCTTCGCTCTGACGCCTGTGCGCAAGGGGGGGCAGTTGGCTAGAATCAGAAGGTTTGAGCCTAAACCCTAAGGTTTAGGGTTTAGGGTTTAGGGTTTAGGGTTTAGGGTTTAGGGTTTAGGGTTTAGGGTTAGGGTTTAGGGTTTAGGGTTTCGGGTTTCGCGTTTGGGGTTTAGGCTGGACAAGCAGCCCTACTCTTCTCAGTGCTGCCTCGGCATTGACTTTCTTGGGCACATGTTCCACCCGTCTCGTCTAGAGCGAACCCCTGACATTACCTTGAGGAGCCGGAAGGAGCATCAGAATCATCCCGTCAGAATCTTGACCCTTTTGGGTCCGAGTGCATGTATCCAAAAAAAGGCTTGCCTTGGAGGTTGACTTGGATGAAGACTCATCAACCCTAAACTCTAAACCCTAATCCCAGTGGATGAAGACTCGTCAGATTTCCACGGGTGCCCGTCTTAGGTACTTTCAGGATCCGTAGTCTTCTTGTGAGACTGGGAGCACAGAACTCAGGGATAGGGCTTATAAGGCTTACAAGGAGGGGGCTAGTTGCAAGTAGAGTTATAAGCACCCTAAATTGGGTTCCAAGGCTCCTAACTTAGGTTATAGGTCCCTTAACCACAGCTAGTATAGAAAGGGGGCCCTCCTTGTAGGGCTCCGGGTTCTGAACGTAGCACCGCGATATCATTCAGGGCAAGACCCACCCGTGCAAGTATCAGCGCTTATGGACATAAACCGGTGGAAGAGTCTATCCCAGAAATGCGTGTCCTAAAAAAGCACAGCGTGCATGGGCCGTTCTTTAAATTGAGATCACTCTTATTGTGGGCTTCCTAATCCACTACGGAGCCATCATTGAGCCATCATTGAGAGACCGTAGCTCAGCTGAGGAATGTCACCATGCTCGTCTGCCTCCGCCCTTACAAGTCTCAGATGGTGGTCCAGACGGAGCATTCTCTGAGCTTGTGTAAAGCCAAGGTTGTTACCCTAAGGGTCCATGTCCCTCATTATTATATACTTGGGGCCCAAAGTCCCTATATAAGAAGTACTTTAAGGAGCAAGTACTCCCTATTAAGGCACATGGACCCTTATGGTTAGGTCTAGGTGACATGCAGACGGGGGCGGGGGGGGGGGGGGGTCTTAAAGGTCGGCTGAGATTTTAAATCCTTGCTCCCACACAAAAGAGGACTACAATTGGGGGAGGGGACGGGGAATAGGAGGAGGGGTGGAGTTGGGTCTGGTTAGAAACAGACTTACGGTGTAGTACCATTTGCTTAAGACCCTCCCCAAAAACACGGAATGTTCTTCTTTACAAGAGTACTGTTAGGGGTTATCATCTTTTCTTCGTGGGTTCTGAAGCAAATAGTAGTTTAGGGTTTGAAGTAGGGGCTTTCCAAGGTGGTCACAAAAGAGCTGTCTGCCATGGTGTACCAAACAACTTCATGTTGTATGTCTTTCTATGGTTCCACTTACCCTAAGGGTCCATGTATCTTAGTAGGGAATACTTGGGCCTCAAATTAAAGTACTTCCCATTTAGGGACTGTGGGACTCAATTCTAGAAGATTAAGATACATGGACCCTTAGGGTTAGTGAAGCCCTAAAGCACTTTTTAGTAGCTTTGGGCACAAGCAGCTCCCTCATGGTACTAGTAGGGCCCCACCCCCCCCCCCCCCCCCCCCCCCCCCCCCCCCCACTATACCAATGTTTCTTTGAGCGGCTCTAGGTTTTTTAGGGTTAACAGTACCGAAACGGTCTTAGAGGCCAATAACATGAGTCATGGTTCTTCGAGTCCAACTTAGGGCCCTTAGAACTCTACTTCGAACTCGAGGGGGGGTTCCTAATAGTCCAGGACGACCAGGTGGGTTTAGGGTTTAGGGTTTAGGGTTTAGGGTTTAGGGTTTAGGGTTCTGGTCCGGATAGGAGACCATCCTGATGACCGTGCTCTTCATGGTCTTGTGGTGCGCCGTGCTTCGGCTAGACATTGCGGTTTGGGGTTTAGGGTTTAGGGTTTAGGGTTTCGGGTTTAGGGTTTAGGGTTCAGGGTTTAGGGTTTAGGGGATAGGCTGTAGGGTGTAGAGTTTAGACCACGGCGCTGGTTGTTGCAGGTGCGGGAGGGAGGCTGAGAATTTGCCGGGTGTTCATTCTTCAGCTTGCCTCTTTTCGTGGTTGAGTGTAGAATAAGGCACAAAAGCGGGGGAAATGGGACTGATCTGTACCCTTAGCCCTGAACGCCAAAGCCCGAAATAAACCGTGCGTGAGAAAGAAGATCCATGTTAGTGTTGGCTGCAGTGATCAAATCACAGAATACTGGGATGCCCACTCGCACCCCTAAACCCTCAACCCCAACCCCCCCCCCCCTTTTCCTTTCTTTTGTGGGTTTGAAAATCCCTTCTAGACCCCTCGAGGTTGAGGGAGAACCGGACACAGCCCCAACCTCCGAAATTTGGTGGCTGCAAAAAAGTTCTCCTGAAAAGCTGAGGCATCAAAGCACCGAAGCTCTGAAAACCCTAAACCCTAAACTTTCAACCCATGCGGCACCTGTTGAGGCATCTACTTTCTTTGAAAACTTTGCTACTACTTATAGATAAGGGACTTCTAGCCTAACTACACGATGCAAACTGTAGGGACGAGGCTATGTTCGACAACTTCGGGCCCATAACTAGGGGACTTTACACCCTTTTGGTATGCCTTATCGACACAAGATCTATTCTGATCCATCCTGTGCCCCAGTTAGAGGAGGAGCACCCAGTCGGGTTTAGGTTTGTCAGAAGCCGTTTGCCCGTGGTGACGAAGTTCTGACGAAGGGCAAGCTGTTTACCACAAGCCCCAAAAACCCCTCGAAAACCCTAAGCCCGAAACCCCGAAACCCCAAAAGACCCTAAACCCAGACCCGAAACTCCAAACCCCCAAGAGGCCAGGGTTTAGGGTTTAGGGTTTAGGGTTTAGGGTTTAGGGTTTAGGGTTTAGGGTTTAGGGTTTAGGGTTTAGGGTTTAGGAAAGATAGGATCCCGAGGTCATGAAGGAGCTCTTGGAGCAGCACCAGGACATACCTGGATTCGTTTGGTTTAGGGCTTATGGGGTTTAGGGTTTAGGGTTAGGGTTTAGGGTTTAGGGTTTAGGGTTTAGGGTTTAGGGTTTAGGGTTTAGGGTTTAGGGTTTAGGGTTTAGGGTTTAGGGTTTAGGGTTTAGGGTTTAGGGTTTAGGGTTTAGGGTTTGGGGTTTCGGGTTTCGGGTTTGGGGTTTGGGGTTTAGGGTTTAGGGTTCAGCGGTTTCGGGGTTTAGGGGTGCTTGGGGTAGGCTTTTTAGGGTTTTAGGGGAGGCCCAAGAGTTTTCGAGGGTTACGGGTTCCGGGGTGTGGTGATTCAACTTCAGGGTTCATACTTCGCAGCACATGGAAACCCTAAACCAGAAACCCGAAACCCTAAACCCTAAACCCTAAACCCCAAACCCCAAACCCTAAACCCTAAGCCCTAAACCCACCCTAAGGCCGCTGCCCTGCAGGCGATAATGATGCACACCGTAGACTAAATCCCTCAGACGCCACACTACTAGTTGCTTAAGAACCCCCAACAAAAATAAAATGTAATATTCCCTTTATTGCCCTTATAAGGAAGAATATATTTGTTTCATTTTTTTGGGGGGCTTCTTAAGCAAAGAGTAGCACAAGCTCGATGAACTCTTCGAGGGCTCTGAAGAGGTGTTGTAAGTAAGGGTTCTGGAAGGGTTCCTAGGTGAGGATCCTGTATGTAAAGTCCTAAAGTCCTATATATTAAGGCGCTAGAGACTAGAGACCTGCCAACCAGGCTTGTTCTCCCACCCCCCAAGGACGACGATTTGTCTTGTCTTGGCTGCGGAACAGAAGCTGCCAGCATGCCTTCGTGGCAGTGGTGAAGAAGGAAGCGTTGCAGCCTTTCATCTTGGATCACAATGCAGAGACAGAGCCCGTGGCTCCTGGTATGAAAATGTAAGAGACAGGTTACGTCAGGTCCATGTGGATCGAGACGTGGGCAAGGCTGTTGAGATGGCCTCCACGGCGCAAGCTGTCGCCCATAAGCACAGTTGCAAAAAGCGCGGCAGCCAAGCCCTCCGATCATGCCATTGACATACCCGCTTATCTTGGAGCCCGTATATACGCCTCATATACCCTAGAGAACCGAAGGGACCCGAATTCAGAACCCTCTTGTAATAAGGATCCATTGAATGACCATTACAGCCGCGACATGTGTGAGGATGCTTATCTCTACACCACCATGATCGAGCGTGTGAACACGGTCATCACTGGCCTAGCGTGCCCTGATGGCATGATAAATTGGGAGGCACGAAGCTAAGAAACTCAGCACTGCCGCAGGTAGCCAAAATCCAGAGCCCTAGAAAAGCCCTCAGGGTTTAGGGTTTCAGGTTTGGGCTTTAGGGTTTTCGGGTTTACTGCAATCTTCCGGGTTTGGGGTTTAGGGTTCCAAGTTGCGTTGCCACCTGTTAAGCGACCTTGCAGGAACCTGCCTCAACTAGTCTGCACTGAAGACGACCCAGAGCCCTATATAACCTAAACCCTAAACTCTAAACCCTGAACCCTGAACCCTAAACCTAAACCCTAAACTCTAAACCTTGACATCCGGATTCCTACACCCTTATCCCCTGCACTACAGCCCTACAGCCCAGCCTCAGGTCCTGACTGCTCAACCCCAAAGCCCTTAAGTTTCAACCAAATTTCGGAAGATTCAATAACCCTAAGGCCCTAAGGGTCCATGTACCCAAATAGGGAACACTTGGGCCTTAAAGTACTTCCTATTTGGGGACTTTTGGGGTCCAAGTATATGAGAATCAGGTACATGGGCCCTCAGGGTAAACAATTGTGTTCAAGGCACCTCCACGGCAGGGCAGAGACCATCTCGGTCAACTGAAACATGTCAAACCTCTCACGCTCATGACAGCGCATCTTGTCTTCTTGGATCGATTCCAGCTTTCTCGCTTAGGGTTTAGGGTTTAGGGTTTAGGGTTTAGGGTTCAGGGTTCAGGGTTCAGGGTTCAGGGTTCAGGGTTCAGGGTTCAGGGTTTAGGGTTTAGGGTTCCCCCCCACCCACCCCGCCGCCCTAGCGAGGTTCACGCTGATGTTTACGGTGCCCATGGTGCCGGCTTACCAGGCTCGCTCTGCCGTTTGCGATTCACGTTCTGCTGTTCGTGTTCTGCTAGTAGAGGCTGGCTCAAAAGACTTTTGGACTGCTCATAACCGGGTGTTTCGGATTTGGGTCTTACGTTTTTTGCAGGAGGCCTACTGGGGCTTTCGTCCTTGTAGGACGGGCTTTGAAGGTTCATAGGACTTGGGCTTTTAGTCCTAAACACTGGGGGTCCTGGAATTCGGGGTTTCGCGGTTGGTATTGCGGACCTCCGGACTTCGACCATAAGGGTACGCCATCCGAGCCACATTTAGAAAGCAATTAGCCCGAACCCTAAGGGTCCATGTACCTCAATAGGGTTTAGGGTTTAGGGTTTAGGGTTTAGGGTTTAGCGTTTAGGGTTTAGGGTTTAGGGTTTAGGGTCCATGTACCTCAAGAGGGGTTACTTGTGCCTTAAAGTACCTCCAAAAAAGACTTTGGGGCCCAAGTATATAGTAACAAGGCACTTGGACCCTGAGGGAAAACCCTCAATGTCTCTTCTGCGGGAAATGAACGTGGCAGTTCCTAACCCTAAACACTATATATCTATTTACTTCGAACATCCCCACCCTCTCTTGGTAGAGATACTCTGGGGTTGGGCACTCTGGGGACACTCTGGGGTTGGGCACGAGACTCTGAGGTTGGGCACGGACTCCGGTGACACTCTGGGGTTGGGCACTCCAGGGAGACTCTGGGGTTGGGCACTCCAGGGAGACTCTGGAGCTAGGCACTCCAGGGAACTCTAGGGAGACTCTGGGGTGGGCATTTCAGGGACTCTGTTGGGGTTGGGCACTCCAGGGATGAGCGAGGAGTAGACCGGGCGAGGAGAAGAGTTCCGGGCGAGGAGCAGAGTTGAGTTTAAAATTTAAAAACCCCACACCGAGGGTGGGGAAACACTCTTGTTGCCCGCAGAGTCCAACCCTCGAAGGGACGGTGAAGCCTCTACGCTTCTCAACCCTCCCAAGCCCTACTGAACAGGCTGAACAGGATTTGGTGTTTGGGGTTAGGGTAGTCTGGTTCCTTATAGAATTTCCTCTGAAGGTTAGCTATTGGTAAGCAGAGTACATGTCCCAACATGAGAAGCCGCCCTACTGTTATCAGCATGCGGGTACATCGAAAAAGGTGCAGGGTTACTCTGGGTAATCCCTAAACCCTAAACCCTAAACCCCAAACCCTAGACCCCCAAACTTCCTAGAATCACTAGTCTCCAACAGCATGCCAAGAACCGCCCTCGGGGCCCTTATCGGAGCCCAGAAAACCACATAAACAAGGATCCTGCAAACGCGACTTCTCGGAATCCCCCTTAAAGGGGGCCCCTTATACCCCAATAGTAGGATCCTTATGTTTATGTGGTTTTTTTGGGGCCCCTACAAGGCTAAGGGTTCATTCACCCCAAACCCTAAACCCTAAACCCTAAACCCTAAACCCTAAACCCTAAACCCTAAACCCTAATTAAACCCTAAACCCTAAACCCTAAACCCTAAACCCTTAGCGCAGGTCTACCGGGTCATGAAGAAGGCGGCGCAGCTCATCACCGGGCCGGACGCCATCCTCAACGCTGCTGGGCCCCAAGCCCTAAACCCTAAGCCCTAAACCCTAAACCCTAAGCCCTAAACCCTAATCCCTAAGCCCTAAACCCTAAACCCTAAACCCTAAACCATAGCCCTAAACCCTAAACCCCAAACCCAAACCCTAAAGCCAGAGCCCTAAACCCTAAGTACACTCCAAGAAGGGGTTGGTGAGATGGGGGGTTAACCGTTCAGCCTTATTGGGTTTAGGGGTTTAGGGTTTGGGGGGGGGGGGGGGGGGAAGTATTCATGAGAGGTTCTTGGCGGGGTCTTGGCATGGTTAGGGGGTTTGGCTTTGGAAGAGGGGGCTCGGGAGATATTTTTTTGTACTGCTGGGACAGCCTTTCTCACTTTCCTGAGGGTTCCGAGTTGTTTTTTTGTGCGGCGTTCTGTAACCCTTTTGCAGAAGTGTTTTCTAGTTTTGTCGTAGAACCCTCGACCCTACTAGACTTTCAAACCTGATAGATGTTCTGGGGTTTTAGAGGCATGTGGGGCCATTGCTATACATTATATATTTTTTATATGTATCTGAAATTGTTTCGGGTGTATGTTTTGAGGTTATAGGGTTTCATTGCTCGTCTCTGGGCCTTTTTGGGGTTCGGGTCGCCCCTAAACCCTGAACCCTAAACCTTGCATCTAGGAATCTAGGGTAGTGAGCTTGGGGTCCCCCCACTACGACGTGCTGGGTGTCCCTAAACCCTAAAGCCCAAGCCCAGGAGATCTACATGACCGCGCACATGCGCAAGGCATTCTGCTTAGCCTGGAAACTCTTGAGCCCGTGTAGGTTTAATCCAGGTAAACCCATACCCAAATCCCTTTGTGCTTTGAGCTGGCTCCCCACAAGCCCACCCGACTCCTTTAGGCCCTCCAGGCCCTACAAACTGCCAGTGACCCCTTTCGCTTCATGAAGTGGAAGGACCTTCAGAGGAGTCCAGCAGAAACCCCAGATGTGTACATTTCTCTGCTTATAATATGTATAATACATTTCTAGATGTCATAATATGTGTATCTATCTTTCTATGGGTGTATATATATATATATACACACTTATTTATTTATATTTATATTTAGATTTATTTGTATGTATGAAGCCCAGCAAACCTGTTCCAACTGCCGTTCTGGACTGAATTGCTCTTAAGGAGCCTGGCTTTGAGCTTTCGGATCTTCTAAGAGGTAAGGGCCTTGTCCGCCTTCTGTGGCTTAGGGATCAGGGGCCCTAAACCCTTAACCTTAAACCTTAAACCCTAAACCTTAAACCTTAAACCCTAAACCCTAAGCCCTAAACCCTAAACCCTCTCAGAGAAAATAAAAGAACCCTAAGCCCTAAACCCTAAACCCGAAACCCTAAACCCTAAACCCTAAACCCTCTTGGAAAAAATGAACCCTAAAGGGTTTATTGGGTCTCCGAAAGTTTCTGAGCTCGGAAGAGGTGAAACGCCGAAAGGAGGCGGAGATGGCTGCCCTGAACAAGCTGGCGGACAAGGCAGGTTTAGGATTTAGGGTTTAGGGTTTAGGGTTTAGGGTTTAGGGTTTAGGGTTTAGGGTTTAGGGTTTAGGGTTTAGGGTTAGGGTTTAGGGTTTAGGGTTTCAGGGTTTCAGGGTTCAGGGTTCAGGGTTCAGGGGCGGGGAGGGGTGTCCTTCAAGTTTCCGAGTGTGTGAGCTCTTCTTTTCGTCGGCGATTTGGGGTATTCGGGCAAGGGGGTGCTGGAGCTTTCTTTGACGTCGTCGACGAGACAATTTGTGCTGTCTCGTTCTTGCCCAAACTCTGAAGCTTAAACCCTAAAACCCCTCAGTAGGGTTTAGGGTTTAGGGTTCAGGGTGACTCAGTCAGAGTTCACCATTTCGAGGCAGGGTTCGTCTCTACAAATTGGCAGGACGTCGACACCGACGAGAAGCGGGAGATGTTGGCCAGCGTCGGCTTCTTGCTAGCCATTCGGAGACTCACAAAAAAGCCTTGTTGCATTACATGGAATAGCAGTTATGCTGATGTTTGACTGCGATGTCTACGTATAGAGTTACCTAGAATTTGTCTACTTAGCTTGCTGCTTTTACTTACGTACTTGCTAGTTGCGTTTTTGTTCAGTAGCCGAAGCCCCTAAACCCTAAACCCTAAACCCTAAACCCTAAACCCTAAACCCTAAACCCTAAACCCTAAACCCTAAACCCTAACCCCTAACCCCTAAACCCTAAACCCCTAAACCCCTAAACCCCTAAACCCCTAAACCCCTAAACCCCTAAACCCCTAAACCCCTAAACCCCTAAACCCCTAAACCCCTAAACCCCTAAACCCCTAAACAAACACTGCAAGCCTCCAATCAAGTTCCCTATGAACCGCTTGGCTTCCTTCACCTGGCACAGGGGCCCGGTCCGAGGACCTGTCAGGGTTTAGGGTTTAGGGTTTAGGGTTTAGGATTTAGGGTTCAGGGTTCAGGGTTTGTTAGGTACAGGTCGAGTCTGCTCTGGAATCGGCGTGCAAACCTGGGATGCACCGCGCAGTCGTGAACTTGAGGGTTTAGGGTTCAGGGCTTCTAGGGTTTAGGGTTTAGGGTTTAGGGTTTAGGGTTTAGGGTTTAGGGTTTAGGGTTTAGGGTTTAGGGTTTAGGGTTTAGGGTTTAGGGTTTAGGGTTTAGGGTTTAGGGTGCTTTGCGCTGAGTGCTTCCGATGACAACTCGGGTGCGTGGTTTCGTGCTCAGTGGCCATGGTGCTTTAGTTGCATGCAGAAACACTAACCCCAAAGGGTCCATGTACCTTATGAATATATGCTTTGGCCCCAAAGTCCCGAGCCTTTTAAAAAATAACAACCTAGCAAGATAGTTTCATACTGCTATACTAGTTTACTCCCGAAACCCTAGTTACCTAAACCCTAAACCCTAAACCCGAAACCCTAAAACCCCAAACCCCAAACCCTAAACCCTAAACCCCAAACCGCAAACCCTAAACCCTAAACCCCAAGCCCCTTCGGCGCAAGCTGAGGCCTCATCATGCCACATCTGGAAACCACGCTGCAGCGCTTCGAGGAGGCCCCGCGGGGGGGCAGGTCGAGGACATGCGGCTTCGAGCTTGTCCACTATCTGCTTAAGAAGCCCCCCCCCCCTCCGCCCCCCGCCCAAAGAAAAATCACAGATATAAATAAAAATAAAGATAAATCTAAATAAATAAATAAATATATATATATATAGTTATATTTATTTATGTGTATATGTATTCTTCCTTAATTTGGGGGGTTCTTAAGCAAATAGTAGTTGGAGGGCTCAGGATTCAGGGTGTGGGTTCCCTTTCTGCCGTGAAGGAATGCGAGGGCGAGCGTCAGGTCACCGATTTGACCCGGTGCAAAGCTAAACCCTAAACTTTAAACCCTAAACCCTAAACCCTAAATCCTAAACCCTAAACCCTAAACCCTAAACCCTAAACCCTAAACCCTAAACCCTAACCCAAAGGCATGGGGGGGTTGAAAGAGACGACAGCCAGAGCCTTATAAGGATCCATGTACCTGAATAGAGATACTTGTTGGGACATTAAACCCTACACCCTAAACCCTGAACCCTGAAACCCTGAACCCCTATGTAGGGACTTTGCGGTGTAAGTATAGAATAATGCGGTGCATGGACCCTAAGGGGAATGCCTTCGTGTTTGCGGGTCAAGCGGTTTGGGTGAGGTTTGGGGTGGTGTAGCCCATCGAGCACAAGCATCTTTCTGAACCATTTAGGGTCTTAATTTAGGGTTTAGGGTTTATAGGGCTAGAGTTGATTGATCCTTTCAGATCACAAAGGCTCAAGCCTCAAGCCTCATCCACGCAGAGAACAGGCGGGCTTGGGCAAGTACGTACTGCCAGACGTACAGAAGCGCTACATGCTGCGCCGCTTGGCACAGTGGGCGTGCCACCCCCCATCCGCAAGATGAATAAAGCGTAAGCCGCTACACCCTGATGCCCTATACCCCTAAACGCCTAGAACCCTAACTTTACAGGCCTTAAACCCTAAACTCTGAGCCTCAACACCTCAATCACACAACCTGGAACTTGATTTTCAGCTTCAACAATTATATCGTGTACAGTGTACAGCACGTCGATAGGTCAACTGGAAAGTATAGCTGCTAGGGACTTATAACTTCGCTTTCCCGTTCGACTAGGGGGCCCCTCCTTGCAGGATAGTGCTTTTACTTGGGCCTTAAAGCCACTCTATGCGATGCCCTCTCAGGGCCCGAGTATATATATATATATATATATATAGCACGTGGGTACCCTAAACCCGACGCTCCAAACCCTAAATCCCTGAACCCTAAACCCCTTTAAGGGCCCAAGTATATACCTAGGACCCAGAGTAGGCCCTTACTCCCTTTGTTTAGGGTGTGGGTGGGTTCTCTTGCAACCCACTTTAAAACCAAAAAGGGCACCCTTGTTTCTTCCTAGGTTACTCCTGGGTCACCCTAAACCCTAAACCCTAAAACCCTTTAAGGTCCCAAGTATATACCACGTAGGTAACCTAAACCCTAAACCCTAAACCCTAAACCCTAAACCCTAAACCCTAAACCCTAAACCCCCTTAAGGGCCGCGTGGTTTTGCCAAGGGCTCGGCAAGCTCACCGCCAAGATCAATCGGGAGCGCGCCGCCCGACCCCGGAAGTGCTAAGCCCTAGGAGGGTGTCGAGTTTTAGGGTTTAGGGTTTAGGGTTTAGGGTTTAGGGTTTAGGGTTTAGGGTTTAGGGTTTAGGGTTTAGGGTGCCCCCACGACAGGAACAAACTAACAAGAGCTAAACCCCTGTTTGTTAGGGTTTAGGGTTCCATTGAAGGGCTACTTTGAACATTTGCCGGTGAAGATGATTTCAGACCTGAGGATGTGTCAGCATCGGCTCACGTGCCAAAATGCACTGTTTACAGGGTTAGAATTCAGGACTCATGGTCGAAGGTCCCTTAACCCAAAGCCATCTACAGTCAAAGTCCTTCACCGGCACACTAGACAAAGGAGCTAATTTGGTGAGCAGGTATCCTTTTTAGTCCTCTCAGAGTGTGATGAACATACCCTTTGCCCCCCGACAGCACTCAACCAGTAAACCCTAAGGGTATGGAAGCACTACAGGTCACCGTTCTTTACTCGTCGTTTTTCTAGATCTCTCGAGCGCTCTGTAAGATACCTCCTGTAAGGTTCCCGTAGGCCCTCAACCCCAAGGGTACTCGCGAGAGGAATTCGAGTATGTTTGTGCTTAAACTCTGCGGGATTTATGGGGGGACCGCTACGCAGAAGAACCCCCCACCCACCCCCCCCCCCCCACCCCTCACCCATACGGGTAGTTCTGTCAGTTAGGTAAGGGGTCCCGTGTTGAGTCCTATGCATACCACGGCACCCTTATAAAGAGGACACCCCCCCCCCCCCCCCACAGGGGACACTGTTTTGGAGAGTTGCCGGATCATCCCCTGCACCTCCGACCCTAAACGTCAAGCCCTCCCTTTATAAACCAAAACCTGGTCTGTTTCAATCTTTGAATGGGGTCTTGTTCAATCTTTTGCTCCTTAGATATAACAAATTAAGATTATCAGGTAATCTGCGAAACAGGGAGGCTTCGGGGTGGTTGAGTTGAAGCCCCAAACCGTCCTTCCTTTGATTACAGGAACCTTGGGTTACATACCCTAAACCCTAAACCCCAAACCATCCTAAACTACCCTGAACTACCCTGAACCCAACCCTGAACCCTAAACCCTAAACCCTCAACCCGAGACCCTAAACCCTCAACCCTAAACCCTACACCCTAAACCCCTCTTTGAGGATTCTAAAAAGCTCAGGTCCTGAAAAGGGAGCTCGAGGAAGCCGGACTCGAGGTGCCTTCACGGCACGGTGGTGTGCGACTTTTGCGGAGGATTTGTTTAAGGTATCTACGGCTTAGTATGGGTTTAGGGTTTAGGGTTTAGGGTTTAGGGTTTAGGGTTTAGGGTTTAGGGTTTAGGGTTTAGGGTTTAGGGTTTAGGGTTTAGGGTTTAGGGTTTAGGGTTTAGGGTTTAGGGTTTAGGGTGTTAGTGTTGAGGGTTGAGGGTTGAGGGTTGAGGGCTGAGGGTTGAGGGTTTCGGGTTCAGGGTTCAGGGTTCGGGGTTCAGGGTTCAGGGTTCAGCATTTAGGGTTTAATTACGGAGTCAAGCAAGGGGTTGGCGTGCGGTGGCGAAGCCTGTGTTTAGGTTTGGGATTGGTGCCGGCCGGTGATTCGAGAGAGTCGAGCTTCGGGTCTGTTCTGAGATCTCCAAGCTTTCGTCCCTAAAGCCGCAAACCTATAAACTCCACACTTCCGAAATCCCTACTTAAGACCTCATCGGGGGTGAACCGTGCATCCTAAACCCCCGATGTTGGCAACCTGAAGCCAAACAAAAAACCCTAACCCTAAACCCTAAACCCTAAACCCTAAACCCTAAACCCTAAACCCTAAACCCTAAACCCTAAACCCCAAACCCTACCTCCAAAAACAGACGCGCAAAGAAGAGGCCCAGCGTTACAGAGAGGAGGCCGAGAGGGCCGCGGCGGCGCACGCGGCAGCTTGGCTCGTCAGAAGGGCTTATTGGGAACCCCCAAAAACTTAGGGTTTAGGGTTTAGGGTTTAGGGTTTCGGGTTTAGGGTTTAGGGTTTAGGGTTTAGGGTTTAGCCTCTAGGTCCTCAACCCTACACCCCGTCTAGCACTGAAAGGACTTGGTTCCTTCGGATGGGTAAGAACTGGCTCAACCCCTAAACCCTAAACCCTAAACCCTAAACCCCAAACCCTGGGTTTAGGGTTCAGGCAGCCACTGCCACAGCCGTGTAGACACGACGTCCTTAAGAATGATCTGGCTCCCTGGTCCTCCATAAAGACCCCCGCCCGCCGAAACCCTAAACCCGAAACCCTAAACCCTAAACCCTAAACCCTAAATCCTAAACCCTAAACCCTAAACCCTAAACCCTAAACCCTAAACCCTCTCAATTGCCCTAAAGATCCTGTGAAGCCCATCCAGGTCTTGTTTCAGCAGGACGCCTCCGAAGAGGAGATCGAGGAGGCGCAGTTTGCCCGATGTTGACATCGCATACCCATGCGTTCCCTTACTACCCCCCTCTATGCGATTTTTAAGATTTAGGGTTTAGGGCTACTACCTTCCCCCCCCCCCCCCCCCCCCCCCCCCCCCCCCCCCCCCCCCCCATATTGTTTCGGTTTCGGGTTTAGGGTTTAGGGCTACTACCCGCCGTAGGTTCCCCCCTTTAATTCCCTCAATTAGGCTCAATTATCCCTAGCGTGAATTTTGGGAGAACCCTATGAGGGGCAGAGGTCTAGAGGGGGATAGTAGGGGAACCCATGATATACAAGCCCTGCAGCACACCCTGTACCCAGACCCCTGAAAGAACCAACAAGCAGATCCCTTTAAGGTTTCCTATTTTGGAGGTTCTACTTTTGCATCCTCCCAGAGGTCTGGGCATAAACCCTGCAACAACCACCTTAACCCGGTTTATAAACCTTACGAAGCCCAATCTCTCCTCAAGACTATTGCTTTTCAAGCCCCTGAAGCAAACAACGAAGAGGTCGCGCGCTCCCGCAGTCCCAACTCGGGTAGATAGACATGACATCACCCTTGAGCACACTCAACCAGTGCAGGTAGTAATCGGCCTTGCGAACCCAGAACCCACTAAACCCCAAACTCTACAAACCTTACTAAGCCTCTAGCCCGAAACGATGAACCCTAAACCCTGAACCCTAAACCCTAAACCCCAAACCCTAAACCCTAAACCCTAAACCCACGAAACCCACGAAACCCACGAAACCCACGAAACCCATCCAGAGACTGGCCCTTTTTCAGGCGCGCCGCGCTGCCGAAGCTGCTGAAGTGTCGGCAATGCAGGTGGCTCCATCTTTGGTAAACCCGAAGCCCTATAGGGGTCATGTAGGGTTCATGAGAGGGTGGTTAGAGGGTTTTTATAGGGTTTATGTAGGGTCTATGAGAGTCTTTAAGTTCATAGGATTTAAGGCAGCCATGCCACTTGGCTCGCGAGAGCCCAAAGCTGGAGAGCCTTGGGGCTTTCACCCTGTTTTGGGTTCGGGTTCAGGATTTACTTTTAGTGGAGTTAGACTTTGCTAATTTCGTGGCCTTGCGGCCGGAGGGGGAGAGGGGGAAAACGGAAGCCGGTAAACCTGTGCATGAACGTCTCAACTTCCCATTCCTCCCCATCCCAGACGAGCGCCGCTCCTTTTTGTGATGTTCCAACTACCCTTGAACACTTCCCTTCGGAATCCTAAACTCCCGAGAGTCCCCAAGCCTCAGTTCCTGAGCCTCCCAAAAGTCAAGGGGGGGCGGGAGTAGGGGGGGTGGGGGGGGGGGGGTGGGGGGGGGGGTGGGGGGGGGGGGTGGGGGGGGGGGGGGGCGGGGGGGGGGGGGGGGGGGAGGGGGGGGGTGGGGGGGGGGGGCTGGGGGGGGGGGGGTGGGGGGGGGGGGACCGTGCCCAAAACATTGGTATGTACAGCGTTTTTGTCAGGGATCGGATGTTTATACGGCATATTTTGCAAGAACGCTTGCAGGCATCTTGCATGTAACAACGTGTCACAAAAAAGTAGTTTAGGCACTCTCTTGTCCGTGCCAAACACACTGTGAAGAAGAGACCGTGGGCAGTGAACAAAAAGACGCGACAACCGAGTAGTTAGCCTTGGCCCCCTTTGGGGTTTAGGGTTTAAGGCTTTAAGGTTTAGGGTTTAGGGCCCCGAAACCGAACCCTGTTGCACGCCAGGCCGAAAATCGCCTGACACATGTGAGGTCAACGCGCTTAACGAGGTGCCGTGTCCAGAAGTGAAAGGGCTTCGGATTTTAGAGTTCATAAGGTTTAAGGGGTTTGTGGTTTAGGGTTTAACCTAGCATGTGTATTTGCAAGAGTTCCAGGGTTCCAGTGACAGTTAAGATACCCTAACACCCCTAACACCAAACCCTAAACCCTAAGCCCGAAGTAAGCCCCATATACGTATAAGTTTAATCAAAGAAAACATCTTTATATGGAGATCCTTTTATTGTATATTTATATGCACGACATCCAGCCTGCCCAGGATGACGGAGTACAAGCAAGCCACGGCACTGATCGAGGCTGGATGTAGGTTGAGGGTTTTTCGGCTTTGGGGATTAGGGTTTAGGGTTTAGGGTTCGGGGTTTAGGCTTTGCGGTTTATAGGATGCCAGGCGGTTTAGGGTTAAAGTACGGCCTTTTTGCAGGAGTTTCTCTCCACAAGGGTCCTATCATGTAGAACCCCCCCCCCCCCTTCCCCCTCCAAAGTTTGGCAGTTTTCTGGGTACAGGGGACCTGTAGTTGAGCAGCCCACCCCGGACGTCGAAGAACACGCATATGTGCTCAGCAAGATGTATGTTCACAACGTGCGTTTTTTTTTCAGTTGTTTATTTGTAGTAGATGTGAATGTGTTCGAGTACCGGAGTGCAAATGTATACTTGCGTGTGGTATCTGTATTGATGTGTCGCTTGTCTTTGGCGCGCGTGCTGTACACCCTTACACACGCAAGTGCTTTCGGGGGTTCTGGTGGGTTTATCTGGCGGCATGATTGTTTGGAATGAGGGAATGAGGGCCCCACATAATCCCTTAAGGGTATATATGTACATATATATGGTTCAGCGTCGAGCGTCCTGGGCCCCCCCCCCCCATGGTATCCCCCCCCCCCCAAGTCTACTCTACGGTCCCTAAACCCTAAACCCTAAACCCTAAACCCTAAACCCTAAACCTAAACCCTAACCCTAAACCCTAAACCTTAAGTCTTAAACCTTAAACCCTAAACCCTAAAACCCTGAACCCTAAACCCTAACCCTAAAACCAACCCCCAACCACACCACAGGGGGGGGGGATCATCTTAGTACCCCATCCGCGGGGAAAACCCTAAACCCTAAACCCTAAACCCTAAACCCTAAAACCCTAAACCCTAAACCCTAAACCCTAAAACCCTAAAACCCTAAAACCCTAAACCCTAAACCCTAAACCCTAAAACCCTAAAACCAACCCCCAACCACACCACAGGGGGGGGGGGGGGTACCATTGGGGGGGGGGGGGGGGGGGGGGGGGGGCCCGCCGGGGCTGAATCATATATATATGTATATATATATGTATATGTAGGGCCCACATTCTCTCAGTCCCTACCCCTAAGGGTCCATGTACCTGATTATTAAATACTTGGGTCCCTACAGAGGAAGTAGTTTAAGGCCCAAGTATTCCCTAATTAGGTGCATGGACCCGAAACCCTAAACCCTAAACCCTAAACCCTAAGCCCTAAACCCTAAACCCTAGGGCATGGACTCAAGAAGCAGGGGTTTTTGGTGGGCTTCGGGATGTGGGGAGTGGGGCCTTCGGACATCGGGTTTTGTTCCGTTAAGAGCACACCCCGGACTACCCTCAGGCCCTAATCCCTACGCCCTAGGGTTTAGGGTTTTGGGTTTAGGGTTTAGGGTTTCGGGTTTCGGGTTTCGGGTTTAGGGTTTAGGGTTTAGGGAACCCTCAACCCTGAACCCCCTAGAGCCTAGACCAAAGGGCTCTACCTTGGAACCCTATAGAAACCCTGGACTTCGGGGTCTGCGCCCTTGCATTTCAGGGGTTGAGGACCCCTCAGGGTCCATGTACCTCATTGGGGAATACTTGGGGCCTGAAAGTACGTCCTATACCCTAAACCCTAAACCCTTTGCCCTAAAAGTACGTCCTATATCGGCACTTTGGGGCCCAAGTAGATAATGACAAAGGTCTTGGACCTTTAGGGGACGTTTAAACGAAAAGGTGCCTGTCAGCCTCTTGTTCGATTTCCTATACACCCACTATGGGATCCTATGTCCTAATTATAGATGCTGTTGAGAGAATCTAGGGCTTAGGGTTAGGGTTAAGGGTTTAGGGGGTTCTGCCTGATTTCCCGCCTTCATTTCGGAACCAGCAACATCAGGAAGAGCAACGCCAGCAGACCCTGCGCCAAACACGCCGAACCATGCGCCAAACGCTGGCTGTCAGGCACGGCCATGCCTCCAATCTGAAAGGCACCCCTAAAGCCCCAAACCCCTCAACTCTAAACCCCAGGTTCTTAGTCGGGAATGAGGGGTTTAGTGTATATATATATATATATGTATACCCTTTATAAGGGAGTACATAGGTACCTCATTCCCTCATGACCGACTGTACCAAGAACCAGCCAGTAAACCCGGACCTCCTGCGGCTCTATGAATCTGTAACTGGGGGAGGGCACCATGGGTTTAGGGTTGAGGGTTTAGGGTTGAGGGTTTAGGGTTTAGGGTTGAGGGTTTAGGGTTTTTTGGTTCTTCCGGGCGGCATTGGCTTGGTAATCAAGGACGAGGCAGGCTTTAGGGTTTAGGGTTTAGGGTTGAGGGGGTTGCCTACATGCTGCATGCTTCTAGGCTTTAGAGTGATCCTGTGGGCCAGAAGTGAGTTTTCGTCATGACTGGATGGTGGAATTAGCCCACCGGCCGCGCGAGTTGCAGATCCCCTAAGGGCCCATGTACCTCTTGATGATATACTTGGGCCCCAAAGTCCCTATATAGGAAGCACTGAGGAAGCAGTTTAAGGCCCAAGTATTCCCGATTTAGGTACATGGACCCGAAACCCTAAACCCTAAACCCTAAACCTTAAACCCTAAACCCTAAACCCTAAACCCTAAACCCTAAACCCTAAACCTATTCAGGTACATGGGCCCTTAGGGAGAAGTATAGCACTTGCCGGCTCCCAAGTTCGTGGCGCTCACGACTGAATCACAATGGAAGTCGCAAGTCTTTGGCGCACACGGTGTACCTCCGACCCACGTTTAGGGTTTAGGGTTTAGGGGTTTCGGGTTTAGGGTTTAGGGTATATAACCACACTGTGAACCTCGGGTCAGAGGCCATGCTTTGCAGATGACGTGGTTGGCGGAGTCCGCCCAGGGACAAGTAAGTTGTTCGAGAGCGGTTCGTCCTTGCAATCAGGCAATCAGCCCTTACGACATACACGAATCTCACTGCGATGTCGCTACGCCTTGCCCACGTCACCTCTTATTCAAAAGCTGGTGCGCGCCAGGTGACTCGCCCAGTTCACGGCGTGCTCTTCCTCCACGGCCTCCTCGGCAACACCAAAAATTGGATGTCCTTCGTGCCCAAGCTGCGCCGGCACTGCGCCGAGCGGGCATCTGCGATGTCAACGGACAAGGACGTCCACACGTGGTGCTACGACGCACGGAACCACGGCGCCTCACCACACCACGCCGACCACAACATCGATGCCCTGAGCGACGATGTGCAGCGTTTCTTGAACGACGAGATGTCGCACTGCGCCGAAATCTCCGTCGTTGGGCACTCGATGGGTGCTGCCACGCTCCTGCATTGGTTCCGCCGCTACGGCGTGATCGGCAAGGAGCCTCGGCTCCAGTGTGCTGTGAGTGTCGACATGCCACCCCTGCTGGAGCGGCCGCCCGAGATGCCCCGGGTGGGGCAGCACATGAAAACGATGCTGGGCATGACGGGTTCCAGGGTGCCGACGGAGCCAACTTGCGCGCTCGACATGATGCTTGCCAGGGAGATGGAGTCGGATCCCAAGGGTGACGGTGCGCACGACCGGGCGTACCGCCAGTTCTTGCTCACCAATGCCAAACTGATGCCGCCGACGGCGCCTGGAGGTCAGCAGACCCTCCAGTGGCGTTGCAACCTCCCAGCGTTCCTTGAAGACCAAATGAACCCTAAAAGGGTTTATGTTTCATATACAACTTACTAGGGTTTGTAGTCGACATAGGGTATATGACCCCATTTTTGGGGGGTTCCTTTCGTCCCCAAGGTTGATCAGCGGCTTCCCACAGATGCCCGGTTGGCGCTTTGAGGAGCCCAACAGTGCCAAGATCGACGCCAAAGGTAAGCTTGCCTTTGCCCTGGGGGAGCAGTCCCCCTACTCCACAGGGCCCCGCCGCGACCGCATCCAAGCGGTGTTTGAGAACGTGAAGGAGGTCGTGGTGGTCGAGAAATGTCCACACTGGGTCCACATCGTGAGAGGCGAGGAACTGGCGGCAGTGGTGGCCAAGTGGATGGTGGTGTGACGGCCTTAAACCCTAAACCCTAAACCCTAAACCCTGTGACAGCTGTGGCCTCTGCTGATGTTCCGAAATCCTGCTAGTCGTACAAGCTGCCATTGCTGGGTCTCGCTTCGATCATGAACCGTCAATCTCGCTCGGCTTTCTCCAGGAAAGGCGCTGGATCTCGGCCGCGCATCCCATGGACTCTCCGCCTCCAAGCAGCAGCTGCTACCAACACACGGCGGTGAGAGGAAAACACGCCGCCGGATGAAATGCGCACAGCCTCCTTGCCAACCCCAAGACCAAAATGCCGAGCCCTGAACCATAAACCTCCGAGCCTAAGCCCCAAACACTAAAACCCACACTCTTAACCCATAGTTACACCCTACCCCAAAACCCAAGCAGAAACCCGAACCGAACTCGAAGCCGCCACGGCACCGGCCAACTGTCCTGGGTTTAGGCTCTATAGGCTTTAAGGTCTAGCACATCAAATCTTAAACCCTAAACCGGCCCGTCAGCCTAAGCCTTAAACCCGAAACCCTGAACCCTAAGGTGGTTTAGGGTCTTGCGTGTTGAAACCGGACTTCAAGAAAGGGGTACAAGCATCCTCCTGGGCGGATTCACACTGCCGTGACAGGCCATTGTCGAGCATGGAAGAAGTCGACGAAGCGGAAGAGGAGGAGCAGGTAGAGGAGAGGGAAGAGGAGGAGAAGATGGACGACAAGGACCTGTAGACCTGAAGTCCTTCACTAAGTAGGCCCTTGAGATATTCTACATTATTCCCTTCTTGGGTTTAAGCGGATCATATTTAGAAACCACTGGAGCCCCAAACCCCAAACTCATACACCTGCGAGATGGCGCCCCTTTTATGAGTAGAGTTGTATAAGGAACCTCAATTGCAGCATAAGTGCCAATGAGTCAGGGTTTTTTTAGTTAGTATACACGCCCCTCCTTGTTGTTCGACCTTTGAAGCCGAAATCTCTACCCCTAAACACGCTTCCAACCCCCTATACCAATATAGACCCCTACGCCTAAACCCCCTCATCCCTAAGCCCACAACCATAGACCCTACGAATTGAGCCCTAAACCCTCAACCCCAAACCCTAAACCCCAAGCCCTAACCCTAAAGTGTAAACTCCAACTTTAACTAGGACGACGACATGGAGCCAGATGTGAGAGTGGAGGAAAAGTTGGAAGAATCTGAAGCAAAGGTTTGAGCGGTGGCGGCGCAAGAGGGTGGCTATGACAAGCAGAAGCACAATGATAGAGTGATCAATATTGACCACCATACATAATCATCACAGAAAATGTCAATATATCATAGCTGTTGATGGCAGAGCTCTTGCTGCAGATTCGCAGCAAGGTGCCCATTGAGGGCGGTGTCTTTGCTAAAGGGTTGAGGGTGTCTATGGTTTGGTTGAGGGTTGGGTTTAAGTTTTCGGGGTTTAGGGTTTAGGGCTTAGGGTTTAGGGCTTAGGGTTTAGGGTTTAGGGTTTAGGGTTTAGGGTTTAGGGCTTAGGGTCGAAGGTCTAGGGTCTAGGGTGTAGGGTCTAGGGAGTAGGGTCTATAGAGGGTCTAGGCTAGGGTTTAGGGTGCTAGCGTGCGTCTCAGAAGCTAAGGAAAAAGCGGTCCCTCAAAGCGCTTCGTTGGCAGATGTAGTGGGCATCCCTTTGAAGCACCACCCTAAACCCTAAGCCCTAGTAAGCAACTTAGTATTGCCATGGTGGTTGACATGCCGAGACCGTTCGTCGATTCTTGCCTTGCTGCAGCTGATAACGCCTGCTGTCGCAGCCCTCCTCCCATGAGAACATGGGGCGGCTTACGATCATAAGGGACCCCCTAATAAAGACCCCCAGGTGCTAAGGCGATTTAGGGATTTGGGGTTTACTTAGGGGTTTAGGGTTTAGGGTTCGGGTTAAGGTTTAGGGTTATAGGCCCGAAATACCAGATACGCCCGAAGCCCGAAAGGCCCTTTGAACGCAAGGTTTAGCGGACCGGTGGGGATGAACAGCTCCATTTCTCAACGACGGAGGCTGCGGCAGCACAGTCCCACAAACGTGGAACATCGGATGTTGCAAAGGTGTTTTGCCATCTCAATCTGAGACCACTAGAGTTAGAGGGAGCCTAAACCCCCCCAATTAGACCCTAGAGCCCTTGAAGCCCTTAGCCCAAAAGTTTACTCCCCCTCTTAAATTATCGCAAAACTCCTGTGTGGCCTCCCGCTGCGGAGACCCGGCTTCAATTCAAGCCTTCTTTCTTGCGCTGCTGCTGCGGATTTAGTAGATTCCCCCTGTCCACGAGACCCTAGACACGTCCTAAAGGCCCCCCCACGCCCGAAACCCTAGACCTAAAACCAAGCCTCAAACCCCACATAAGAAGCGCCCTAATCCTAAATCCGAAAACAAAAACCTAACCTCCCCCCCCCCCCCCTGCCCCAAAAAAAAAGACAAAGTCCTAAACCCTAAAACATAATCGTAAACTCGCCCCCAAACAGCCCTGAACCCTAAAGCGCTGTAAGCTGTAAGCGGGTCCGAATGCGAAGCCTCGGAGACCGAAGATCCAGATGTCAAACCCGTCGCACCCACCCTCCTTGAAGAGCACCAGGTCAAAGTTTAGGGTTTAGGGTTTAGGGTTTAGGGTTTAGGGTTTAGGGTTTAGGGTTTAGGGTTTAGGGTTTAGGGTTTCGGGTTTACGGTGGGTTTTGGGGGGGTTTTAGTGTTCATAAGGCTTACGGTTCATAAGGGTTAGGGTTTGGGGTTCATAGGTTTTACGGTCTACAAGGTTTAGGATTTGCAGGGATTAAGAAGGTTTAGGGCGTGCATAGGGCCTATAAGGTTTTGGGTCTAGGAACCCAGAGCACTGGAGCCCTTCCTACACAGGTCAGGTGTACTTGGTGCGCATTTGCAAAAACCATCAGGGGCTTAGGGCCATTTAGGGTTTAGGAAACCCTAAACCCTATAAACCCTATAAACCCTCTAAACCCTATAAACCCTATAAACCCTATAAACCCTATAAACCCTATAAACCCTATAAACCCTATAAACCCTACAAACCCTATAAACCCTATAAACCCTAAGGAAGCCTTCAATACCCAAGATCCCAAACCAGCAGAAGAACAGGCTTGCGTTAATATCCGTTCGCTCCCCAACCGGCTTGAGGGCCACGGCGCGGAGCCTCCAAAAGCAAGACCACGGAAAGTGTTTAGGGTTTTTTTAGGGCTTATGTAGGGTTTTCGCGTTTGTTAAGGGTTTGCTTCAGGTTATTTAAGGTTTGTAGTGTGTACTTCAGGGTTTTTTGGAGTTCTTGGGTTTTACAGGGTTTTGGGATTTGCAGGGTTCATTTAGGGTTTAGGTGATGGGCTCACGGGGCCCCTAGTAGCTTGGAGCATAGCGTGGAATCGAGGACTTCGGTCCGAAGTTTGGGGTGTGCTTTTGACTGTTTCGGGCGTTTTTTCTGCGTTTCCGCGTATGAGCCCCTAAGTGGGGCCCCTTGTTAGTTTGCGGGCAGATGTTGTTGCAAGATGTGGAACCCTCTTGAAACTAGCAGCAAGTCCTCTGCAACCATCAATGGTCCTCCCCAAGCAAGCTTCCCGGCCTCTGAACTCGAAACTTTACCTAGGACGGACACTTCGCCCTTTTTTGTTGCACCGCTTTTTTTGTCAACAAATGCTTCATCTACATGATGCAGCAAGAAAATAGGGCACCACGAAAGCAGCAGCTGCAGTTAGCTTAAGGAAGTCTTTCGAAGCAGCCACCCAGGTCTTCTAAGAAGCTTCGTGGAGTCTACTATGAATGCCTTGGTGCGGCAAGGGGGCTCAGGGGGTCGCAGCCCTGATAGGGTTGGGCTTTGAATTGCACACGATATCGTGCACTACATATCGTGGTTTGGGTACCCTAAACCTTGTAAACCTAACCATAAACCCTAGACCCTCAAGACCCAAAACCCTAAACCCTAAACCCTGCCCTCACCCAAGACTGCGGCACACCCTCAAGAGTTCGTGCACCCGAGCACTCGATGTCGTGGTTGGGGCTTCAGATGAATTCCGGGACTTGCACTCAAGGGGGCATGAAGCTTGTACCTAAACCCTACACCCAGTTTTAAAGACGGGCGTTTAGGGCAATCATAAGGGGGCTTGAAGGCTTGTACACCTAACCCTAAACCTCAAACCCTACACCTACTGCAATTTTTAGAGAGGAGCTTCGGGGGGCTTGGGGGCTTTTGAAGCTTGCTTTGCTTTTGGCTGTTGGATTTTCTGACCGCTTAGGCTTTACCTGAAGAGCCCGAAAGCTACGTTTTGTAGGTTCTTACGATAACTAGGCCTGTACAGGATTCAGAGGTAACCTCCACCCTAAACCCTAAACCCTAAACCCTAAGGTTTAGGGTCCTTTCGGTTCTGTGGGGTGCTCCGAGGTTGGTCCTGACGGCATGTGCAGCCAGGACCTTAGACCTTAGTGCTCCTCTGAGGACTCTTCAAGGGTTTAGGGTTTAGGGTTTAGGGTTTAGGGTTTAGGGTTTAGGGTTTAGGGTTTGGGTGTAGGGTGTAGGGTTTAGGGTTCTAAAGTGTTAGGCCGTTAGGCCCGCAGTCATCTGCAGCATTTCTGCAAGGCCTTAACCTTCTAGCCCATAGACTCAGAGCCGAAGAAAGTCCGAAACCGGAACCCCGAATCCTAAACCCTAAACCCTAAACCCTAAACCCTAAACCCTAAACCCTAAACCCTAAACCCTAAACCCTAAACTCTCTTTTGGGGGGAAGGGGGGTGTCGACAACCTTGGGGATCAAAAGAACCCTAAAATTGGGACCAAATATAGAATCACCCTTAGATTTATGGCCCTTAATATGGTCCCTAACCTCCTCTAAAGGGCTCTGATGTACGGGCCATTAATCTGTGTCGGGTCTAAGAGGGCGATATAAGGGGTACCCTTTTAAGGGCCCATACAAAATGGACCATGTAACTACCCCTAGAGTTTAGGGTTTAGGAACCATTAACCCTTTCAGGGTTCATTTGGTCCTTAAGGAACAGGCAGGTTCGGGGAGACAGCGACGTGGCGCTTTGACAGCGTGTGGCCTGGGGACTTTTTGGGGGGTCTATCCCCTGAATCCAAGCACTGTTGCACTTGGCTCAGGACTCGTTTTAGGGTTTAGGGTTGAGGATTTAGGATTTATAGTGTGGGCTTCTTTTTGGAATGCCCGACATGTCAAACCACTGCAGGTGTTTGTCACTGCGTCCTCGCTGTCGGTGGAGGCGACGAGGGCTGGAAGACAGGTTTTCGGGGTTGGGGGTTTAGGGGTTTAGGGGTTTAGGGGTTTAGGGGTTTAGGGGTTTAGGGGTGTAGGAATGTAGGGGTTTAGGGTGTGTAGGGGTGGTGTAGGGGTGTAGGGGTGAAGGGTTTAGGGCTGGCTTGGGCGCGGAAACCCTCAACCTTGACGCCTAGCCTCCAACCCGCCTCAGGGGTACATGGACTTTTAAAGATAGTTTAGGTGTCAGGTGTCGCGTGGATGAGGGGGGGGGGGTGGGGGCGCACACTAAACAACAAGCCCTAAGCCCTAAACCAAACTGTCCTTAAGGAGCATGGCTTAAGGCCATAGAGTTCCGCGCAGTGTCCCATAGCCCTAATCCGCAAACCCTAAACCCTACACCCTAAGCCTGAAAACCCAAACCCCCAAAACCCTCAATGCCCAAGCCCTTGGCTCCTCAAGTTGGGACCCGAAGATCGCAACCCCGTCGAACCCTGATTCGTGAACCTCTAAGCCTTTCCCAGTCCCAGAGTGACCTGTACCCCCGTACGTTTGAGGTTCGGGTTTACGTATCCTGGATACCCATAACAAAAGGGGCATGTGCCGGCACTGGGTGCATTTCCCTGGTTGCGGGTACATAGGCCACTCCCTAGGTATACCCTGAAGCCCTCGCTGGATAGTCCCTTATTGATACTTCAGAGCTTCTTTCTCTATGAATCGTTGTCAGTTGTCAAAGGGCCAACCTCCATGAGGTCTAAACCAGCAAGGAACAATTACGTACCCCAAACCCAAACCCCAAACCCCTAGCGCCTTGGCGTCTACCCTTCCCCTCACTGTCTGGCAGACTGCCGATGCGCCGTCGGACTCTGCCACCCAAGGCCACAAAGACCTGGTATCAGTGAGGGTTTAGGGTTTAGGGTTGGGGTTAGGGGTTAGGGTTTAGGGTTTAGGGTTTAAGGTTTTGGGTGATAAGTCTTTAAA